TAGCTTTCACAACTGAAAAGTGAGAGTATAAAATATCTATTCATTGAATTAACCTTGGCATTTTCCTACCTTGATTGACACCATCAATATAAAGCTGAGAGAAGACAATGACATGATGGGCATGGCAAGCACCATTGGTGATCCAATATTTCTGTGCCAGTGCATTTGGTGTGTTGACAATGAACTCCTTGGTCTCCTTGTCATATGTGGCTGTTGTCTCCATCTGTACTGCATTGTTTCCGTATCCAAGTTCTGTCAGACCAAAACAGCCCACATCTTCCAATGAATCAATACCCTTGGTTTATCAAAAAGAAAAGAGAGGCCTTGCCATCAGTTCTTAAGTCAAAAAAAACTTTTTATTACAATTGGCAGTAATGTCGCAATCTGCTTGGCAAATTTCCCACTGTTGAAAAGAGTATGGACAACCTTACCCATGTTAATGTGTCACACAATACCTTTGTCACCTCTTAAACATGGATGACTTGGAAATTTTGACATAGATGTTGTAGTAAATTAAAAAAGTCAACTGTGGTATAGCCTAGTGTGTACTCTCACAGACAACAATATTTGTCATCACTGTGGTCAAAGCTACAGCCAAGTGAGTCCAACATGACAAATGAAGAATATTGCTGTTGCTAAGAGCACAGATGCATGCAGATTGATGCAATAAAAATCTTAAGCAAATTTCTAATCATTTTACAACAACTATAGAAATCCATGGTCCCTTGCCAGTTCAGAGGCATGGTAATCTCTCCTTCATTTTTAGTCAATTAACAGTCATATTCATCACGTAGATGAATACATCATTTACAAATATACAATTAGAAACAACATTAACCCTTTAACTCCCATGAGTGACCAAGAGAGAGTTTCTCCTTACAATATCAATACAATAACAACCAGATAAGTGATGAGAATAAAGAAAAATGTCAATTTGGGGATAATTAGTTGAACCAATAGTAAATTCCCTGAACTAATATTGTAAGAATTGTATGGTTGACAATAAGGAGAATTACAAATTTGATCTGGAGTTAAAGGGTTAAATTCATAGAGAGGGTAAAAAAAGCTTACTTCCTGAAAAGGCAAAGGTGTTGTTATAAGTGGAAACAAAAATACCCTAAGAGTGACCAGTGTCTAATTTCTCCTTACAATATTTCTGCTTAATCATTTATGAAAACCATGAGAATAAAGGAAATGATCACCAAATGAATTCTCCTAGTCAGAGCCAAAGGATATGTACAGAGAAGATTAGGGAGAAAATAGATGCTGATGTTAAGGTGTAAGGCGTATAAGATTACGGAGGAAATAGAAGCTGTTGATAAGATGTAAGGCATATAAGATTACGTAAGATTACGGAGAATATAGAAGCTGATATTAATTAGGATGTAAGGCTTATAAGACCAAATAGCAATACTCTGACTAAATCGAAAAACGAGTAAAAAGTTCCTACCTCTAATAGTTTGTCATGGTGTCTTTCTGTGCCCAGCTTCAACACAGTACCACCAAACAAGTTAAACTGGACCGTCATTTTGGTAGCCATTGCCGCATCTACTACGGCGGCCATTTCGTGGGCTGCAAAGATCCAGTGAGGGTTGCTTTTGAAGTCTAACACGGAAATAAATCCTTGGTTACAGAGTGTCTTCAGTCTCTTCAAGGCTAAGTCTCTCTCTTCGTCCAAGGAAATGTTGTATTTTGGGGTCATCAAAGGATCCTCAGAAAAGATTTTGCGAAATTTCGCTCTCTTGTCGTGGTTATCGTGATCCAACAGATGGGTCATTTTCGCCACATCAAAGGATGGTTTACCCCATACATCACGGAGTTTTTGTGGATCAAACCGGGCTGCAGAACATGAAAATGGACGAGTGTTTTCCGAATCCTGATATTGTATCCCTTTCGTCATGGCCGCACTCGTCGATCGAGTTGAGGGTGAATAAAAATATTTTCCAAAGCCAGATCTAGAGACATACCTCGGCAATCCCCTCAGGGCATTAAATCCGGCCGAAAACATTGCTAAAATGGACAAAATGAAAGCTTTTAGAACTGTAATAACAGGTCCATAGTTCACATCTCTATTCCTTCCATCGTCGCTGTGTCGTGTCTTCGTGTGCAAACCATTAGATTGGTTTCCAGTCTCCTCGCCATCCAGATCTGGTAAAACGAACAAATCAAAACTTATGAAGACACGAGTTATGTTTTTCACGAGCGTAAGGTATTGCTTACCGCATATATTTGCACTTCTAAATAACTTGCGTATTTAAGGGAAACCAGAGTGATACAGTCAAACCGTTATTATAAAGAACATTTTAGAGGGGGAGGGGTAGGTACCATAAAAAGAATTCGACACGTTCCTGCTCCTCTCCCACCTGTCACGTCCCTGTCTGCTCGCCATGCCTACACTTGACGAAAAGATACCAAACCAAAATTTTCTACTTGTTTATTCTCCACAGTAACGCTGTTATTAAAATTCCGTCGCCAGATCGAAGATTTTGGCAGCTTGCCCCGATAGCAAGTAGCCGATTGACCGCGAACTTCACGGGTCAGCGCTTATCTGCTTGACGTGAACTCGTGTTGAAGGAAGGATAAGATTTAGTTTCGGTTGACCAAATAGCCAAATATATCAGTGCCGGCTTGGTTTTTTTTTAAATGAAGCAAATAAAAACGGTCCAAGGGCGATTTGAAGTAAGAACTACCAATTTGAAATATTTACATTAAGGAACACCTGGCACCAGCGCCATCTAAAATCGAAAGATTGTGCAATTTTTTGTCGCTAGATTTTGCTATAAAATGTTTCGTAATCGTACCTTTCACTCCGGGATTTTCTTCCTTCTCCTCCATAGACGACTCTGTTGCAGTAGCGTTCGTTTTCCTACTCCTAATCATCTTAAGATCGACGAAAGGCTTCTTAAATTGCTTCTCAACTCTAACTACTTGCGCAACTTGACATTGCGTGACAGTTTTATGACCTTACCGGAAACGATTTTCTCACGTGACGGAAGTGAACCTACCGCGATTACTGAGATAATTTCTTGATTCCTCATTCCCAACGATAGATAAACAGGTATATTTTTGGATAAAAAACAAACAAACAAACAAATAAATATATGATAGGAAAAGTGTGTATATCAACATACAGAATCAAATAAATGAACTAAGAAAATTAACTTTCTTTCGCAAACATCGATGGAGCAAAAGAAAAATATATGGAACGATACGATTATTTTTTTGTTACAAGACAACGAGGACAAAGTCGCGGATTACCTTTAAGACTACGGCTTTGTTTTAGAATAATATGGGGTTCGACGGAAATCTCTCCAAAAGTTTAAGGAAAAGCACAAAGGAAATAATTAGCCCTACTTACCATTCCGGTTGTATTCCGGTAGCCATGCAGTCTTTCCTACTCTTTTGACCCGTTCTTACGGCGGCCCACAACTGTCCCGGCAAAAAAAATAACCTCGCGGCAAAAGAAATAACTTCGCAGCGAAAGAAATAATCTCGCGGCAAAAGAAAAAACCTCACGACAAAAAGGACCGAAAAGACTCACGGCAAAAAAGAAAAGGGTCACAGCAAAAGAAAAAACTTCACGGCAAAAAGAATAACCTCACTTAGATAATTCTAAGGTATTTTTAATAAACGGAAGATGTCGCTGGTTGGAGTAGCAATCTTCTCTTCTGCGTTCGTTTTAGCGATATACCAGCTTAAAAATTGCGATATTACTTAAACGACAACAATGATGAATAGACTCCTTCCATACCCACAACAGTAACTCTAAACCAATTTAGCTAACCTGCGAAGGGAATGAAACCCAGTTATTTACAATTTTTGATTCATTTGCAGGTGGCCCCGATGTTTTTCTAGTTTACTGTAACATGGCCAATAATCGTCTTGTGAGTGGACATCGCAAGGGTGTTCTCAAGTTGTGTTGTAACGTCAAATGGATGCTTTAACCAAGTGGAGAAATTTTCTACGACCCTTTTCCCTCGGTGTTGGCTTTCGTTATTATGATTAAATTAGAAGAGGCGTTTTGAACGGCTGTACAAGCGATCATATTCCCTCATGAGATTCTGTTGGCAAGCTACAGGTTACGGTCAGGAGTGTTAAAAAAAGGACCCCTGATCATAAAAAAAACGCACACTTGGGTGAAAAGATAAGTGTTCCTGTTAGGCAAAGCGCAGATATTGCTCCCGCTGAGGTTGAGAACATGAAGAAGTAGGCAGATACAATCGAGATGTCTCTCAATTTTACCAAAACATGGGAAATGTGCATACACGGCAAAACTACCAAGTTATCCCCTTCAGAATTACCAGGAATAAAAGGAAGCCATGGTTAAAACTATTAGGAATCACATTTCAGGAAGATACTACGAACTGGGACATCCATATCGACGATATGCTATCCAAAGCCAGTAATCAAATGTACATTCTAAGGGTATGCAAATCCTATGGATCTTCCAAAGATCAACTCAATAATTTGTTTAACTCGCTCGTCATGTCCGTATTCTTGTATGGGATTGAAGTTTGGGGTGCAGCTTACCAGCGACAATATCTAGACAGAATCGACTGGTTTCTCAAGAAGGCCCTCAACTATACTTGACTAAATTAAAGATAGGGACTCTAAGCTTTGTAAGAACGTAATCAGTGATGATCATGTACTTCATGATTTTCTACCCCTAAAGAGGAGACGTGTGCCCCGTGAGTCAAGCATGACTTTATATTACCTAGAGTTAAAACCGAACGCTTCAAGCATTGTTTCCTTAATAGATGCCTCTTCAATTAAATTCACCGTATATAAGGAACTTCATAATATTACATGTTGCAATGCAACAATTTTTACATATTCTTAAATATACTCATAATTTTCTTATTAATATATTGTAAAATTACGCGTTTGTGGTTTCTGATTTATTGAAGACAGATAATCATCATTGTTTTTTTTTTATTATTAAAAGAATGGAAACATGATTTTTTTGGACGCGCTTTCGGCCATTAAATCTTAATCCGTGATTTCATTTAGTATTTGTACTTTTTAGATCTGTTTGTTACTGTGGTACTGTAGGAAAAAAACACGGCTGTATCATAGAAACTAACTAAATAACTCAGTTCTTCTGCACGAGTGTAACTTAACTTGAGGACCTAAGGAACCAAATTTTTATTTGAATGTTGAAATATTTTGTCCGAACATCCTCAATGATACAGGTCTAGTATTTTCACACGGTCTTGCCCTTTTCCAGGGCACAATCTCCATCAAACATCCCCAGTAGCTTACTTATCAATTACAGGCAGTTCGAGGTCTGCAGCTGGTAGACTCTCGGTCCCTTCTTCAGAAGAAACCCTTGGTTGTTCAGGGAGAAAACAAAGTCGTCGAAATTACGAATCTGCAGTCGTAGATCCTATCACAAGTAAATATGAAAAAAAGGTGCTTTTCAGACTGAAACTTTTTTAAATGAGATCCCTCTGAGTGGATCATTCAAGGAGAAGTGGCTGGCAAACCAGACACTTCGGACACACACTAAATGATTGCGAAACTTCGGGGCGCGCGACGCGCCAGCGGAGCATCCATATTTAAGAAAAAGTATTCTCAACTTGAACTTTGTTGCATCAGATTTATTGGGTGGAAAAAGGTGAAAAACAAAAACACCTTTTTGAACTTATTTGCCAACTTAAATTTCTAAAATCGAGAACCCAACGACTTTTGGAATGTAATCTCTTAAGTCCTGATATGAAATATTTTAATGTTAATTATAGAAAGGAGCGCCAGCATTTTGATACATTAGAATCAGTGAAAAAGTGTGCACAATTTGCTCATGTGAGGAACATGCAGGAAAAGATATCCCAGTTGAATAACGCCCATATGAGAAGCCAATCTACTCTCTCTCCAATTGTATTCATTTGTTAGAAAATTAAGCATTTTACAGGCAAGTCCGTACTAAAGAAAAGCGTCCCAGTTACCTTCGCTATCCTCCTCATTTGTTCAACGGTGAAAAGCGAGTTGTATTCCCTCTCTGAAATGCGACTTAGCTCTGCAACGAAGCGTTTTGACTACAAGATAAAAAGAATTCAGCAATCACGGACTTCAACTCCTTCTTAACAAACTGAGACAAAGTCTCCCAAATAAAACCATAACAGGAATGATTCAACAGACCCATGAGGCGAATAAAACTCAACACTCAACACACTCAACACTCTTTATTTAAAGAAGAAATATAAGGTTTACAAAACTTCATGTCCTGCAAATAGCTACAATGCTAATCTAGGCAGGACAAGACTTTAACTAAAGGCGTTATTAAATTACATAAGAAAAAAGAAATACAAAAACATACAGAAAGAAACACCTTACATATAAATAAAACCATTATTGAGTACCTGCCTCACCGCAAAGAATGGCGTTTGCTCTACCCTTGGTGGCCTAAAATGGAGTTTTCCATGCGAATTCGATGCTTGTGTGTTAAAAAGAGATTTTATAAGCGAACGAAGGAAAAATGAACGCAGTTAGCTCTTCTGTCAATTATTGAAGACAGACTTTGCTGGGTACGTGACGATGAGTACCGAACCTTCTCCACAAAGACTAACCTGTGCTCTTGAGCTCATTCCGGAGCCATGTTGAGAGCGTTGAAAATCCAGATTTCCAAAGTCGTCGCTAAACGTGTCCAGGAGACTGTATTTCATGATCTCCACCACATCCTTGGCGTCTTGTTGGCTAGCCTTTTCGCGCATCTCAAGCCGTGCTCGTGCCTTCAAGGGCAGATTTGAACAGGGAAGCAAAAGAGATGTCAACATGACGTCAAAATTGAAGTTGATGCGCTTCCCTGACGTCTAGTGACGCGCATGCGTACCTTTGAGTTGGGTAGCGAATTGCGAATAATGTACTATCCTCGGAATAAAAGGTCGACATATTGCATTAGTGAAGGTGAAAAATGAGGTCGACGTAAACGTCAGAAATCGCCTCCTTGTATGCGGAATGGCGTTTCTTTCTGTAAGTTTTGCGAGAACAAATTTTTGCGGTTCGATGTTGGGGCATTTCTGTTGGGAGATGTTTCCATTAAAAGCAATGACGCAAGCATTGATGGCAGAACACGTACAAGAAAAGAATTAAAAAATCAATTCAAAACAAATAACATTAATTGACAGATGGAGTATGGAGTTTTTTTATTAGACTGATGGTAGCAAATTTTTGCAGTGTTTTCTTTCGATAGATTCTTATTTCTATGGGAAACCGAAGACTATCTACAAAATTTGCAAAAACAAATAACACCCTGACATTACTACGCATTCTCACTATACTGTTATCTATAAAAAATTTCCTGTGGTAGTGACAAGGAGACATCGTTGAACAATCAAGAACTTCTTTAAATGGTGATGATCGTATCCTTTTTTCGTGTTATCTTAATGCTTGATTCAACAGTAAGACTTTATGGCGAAATTAATGTTTATACCTGAGTGAGTCTTATGAGTGACTCAAGTTGCCTGGTAGTGATAGGAGTACTATCCGCACTGTGATGCTGTTGTCTTAAGTCCAAATAAAAATTCTACAGAAGAAACACAACTAAGTCAGCGAGAAATGAATCCGAAAACATGAAAAAAAGATTAAAACTTCGAAAGGATTTTAGCTAGGCTACAAAGCCACTCGCTGATGGCGAATTTGCTGAATCCACCTTAAATCTCTTTCTAGGCTTTACCTTCTACAACTGCCCTGATTAAGATTTGGCTGTGAAGATCACTGTTCATCCCTTTCTATGTAAAGGTCAAACATTACTTGTTTCATAAGTTCTTTGCGATCAAAACCATTACTTTAACTGCAAAAAGAATTTAGAACTTCGTACGAGGCTAATACATGCTTCTAGCAAAAACTTATGTACAAATAAAAACAAAACAAATAAAACAAAGGATTTTGCATATTTACGCACGTAACTCTACACATATACCACAAATGCATAGATTCTTGGCTACCATCAACAAAATTTAATACAAGCCTTTTTAGTTTTCGCTTTGTCGCTGAGACAATTCCTTCAGAAAGCTGATACATCACACCAGTCAATTATAACAGACGTCGCTTAGTCCAGTCTGTAAATCAAAATCTTGGACCAAAGTTCTCAGTACTCCCGAAAAATTTACGGCTTTTTCATAAAAGCATGGTCCACCAGGCTGGCTCGGGGTCTGAGATTTTACCAAACGATTCCTCTTCCCTGTCCATGGCTTCGCATGACAATTGGGCAGAAAATTCTCCCATATATATAGCTCGCTTACCAAAAAAAACCTTTGAATGGTGGCACTGCCATGATCTAGGTAACTAAGGCTTAACTGTCTAATTGCAAATGAAAAACGAAAAAAGAAAATGACCAGAAGTTTGTGCCACCGTCATGTGACAATGAATATTTCACCTGTAAGACTTCTGCTGCTGCAGGAGTTAGTTTAGGATGCACATACGTCCTGGCGTAACCCACGTACTGTAACGCAAATGACCCAAATTAGTGACATAATCATCGTATTCAAAATTGTATTTGTTAGAGAAATGTTTCGTAACCATTGTGGTGGTTCCTTTAATGCCTTTTGCGATAAATTCCAATAATATTAATTCAAATGGTACCGAAGTAGAGAACAAACATTGCAGACTGAGTATACCGCTTGAAAGTAAATTCCATAAAAGATAAACTCAAAATGCAAATTATGTCAGGAATTTGGCAATAATAAGTCAGGCCAAGGAGTTAAAGTGTCCACTGATAACAATACTAACTTTTCGAAGTAGTTGGCTGGGAATGGCATCAAACTCTTCATTTCGACCAATCTGGCAAAAAAAAAGCCAAACGTTATTCACCCTTTATCCGCGTCAAATATAAGAGAAGCAACATCCACCCGCCAGGTTAACTTAAAAACCTGGCAATGCCCTAAATTTACCTTTAGACGTTCAGAGAGGGGTTTATCAGCTTCCCATTGTCTCCTCATCTCGTCCTCATCACTGCTACTGTCCTGTGGCCATCCGAAAATAATTAACAGCTATAAATGGGCAACTTGATCGTGGTAAGTATCCGATAAAATAGAGTCATTCATTCTTAGCCTGAGCAAATAAAGTAAAACTAGGGGTCAAAACTATAATAGGTAATTTTCATTTCCCTAAGGCACACACTGCTCTGAAAATCATTTTGTCCTCCTTCTAAGATCATGAAATGGGTATATCTTCCGAAGCATGTTTTTGTTATTTTTGGCTGTTAATGTTTTAATCGTCGTTAAAGTTATGTGCCGCTCTGTCTAGCATCGCCTTACTCAATCGGACAGCTTAGAAAGGTCATTGCGTTGCTGTTAAGTCTTCCTTTCTGTATTTACAAAGGAGTGGGACTGACGCCTCAGCAAAGTTTGTTTTCACCATATCCTCGAATCTTGAAGATGCCCAATATAATTTCTTTCCCTGCTGCGGAAACCCCTTTTAACTTTTGATCAGGATTTTAATCACTCAAACTCACACAGCAACATTGTTCATGATATGAATGTCATGTGCAAGAAACTATTCCCAGTCTCGATCATTCAACGATGGCTGTAATAAAATACAAAGCCCAGGTTCTTTTTTAAAGTTGAAATCCGCCAGTGATAAAACGAAATTCGTCGAATATTCTTAACAAGCTCGAAGAAACTTTCCCTGTCATCTCAGTTATGCGTAATGGGTAATTTACCGCGTCATTAAGCTGTTTGCATTTTAGAACGAGCGCTTCTTCGCCCGCGAATAAGTTTGAAGCTTTGAGCTACGTAAGCCGGCAAGGGGTCGGCAAATGGTCTTGCACTCATTAATGGCGCCAGACCACCGGTAAACCCCGGCCTCCAATCCTCTCGTCCTGCAGCGCTAATAACGAGGGCGTGCGCGCGAGCTAGGGAATTTTAACCTTGGATGAAGAATCTCTGTACCTCTCTTGAACGCCGTCTTGCTGTCACCACTCCAAATGCACTACAAAGATAAAGAATCATGTACCATTATTACAGACATTTCTATCCTAAAATCTGGGCAGCAGACTGTAGAACGGGAGATGTCGAGTTCAAATCTCGACCGGATCCGGTACCGATAGGGGATTGAAAAAACAAGTCCATCAACGAACTCCACGTAATTGAGATGATCGCCACATCTTTACATCAAAGTTTCCTTACTGTTGACGATTGAATTTTTACTAGGAAATGAATTTGGCATTCTTTAGGGACTTGCCCATTTGATAATCAAAGCTCTTGGCCTCTTTCTTCTACACCTTGTAACAGAAGGTGCAAGACAAATCGTCCTTTCTCACTCTTAAACCTCAAAACAGTAGTTAGGCAGTTTTGTCAGTCAAACATCCTTGAGATCATCAGCATGAAATAATTACAAAAAAGTTTAATGATTTACCTCTTTTTCCCAGCATGCAAGGCCATAACATGTTCGGACAACATACAATCCATTTCCTGTTGAAAAATGAGCAGCATTCAGCTAACTTTTATGGCGTAAGTGATCATCCACAGCTAACCCTTTCATTCCCAATATCTCATCAGAAATTCTCCTTACTGTCTGCTATACAAATCTTGACGTTAGTTCGGAAATTTGGTATTGTATCAACTACTAATCCGCTAACTGTTATTTTCTTTATCTTCATTACCTTTTTGCTTAACAATGTATTGATATTGTAAGGAAGCTACAATTACGATATCTGATGGCGTCCCTTGGAGACGAAGAAAATTACGCTTTGTTAGTGTAGACAAACATCATCCACGAGGTGAGAATCTTAAACCGATAAAAAATATTGATACAAAATATCATCTCGGAATACTGTTACACGTAAGACTGAGCTCGCATCATGACTGAGGACATTAGAAAGAAAAAATGTGGAACGGTTCTCAGGAAATCAACTAACCTCGTCTGGCTTGTCCAACAAAATGAAAACCTAAAAATACAACAAAAATTTGTCTCTATCTGAATTCGATTGCTGTGTGTCGAACACATGTTTACAACGATCTCAATGCGTTCGCCCCAAAGTGGAGCGAAGTCAGTTATGACAGATTTTCTGAACTAACCAGGTCGAAGCGTGACAACAAAGCACTCCCCATCCTAAGAAAAAAAAAAAATTTTAAGGATCGTATGAATACTCAGTTTAGTCAGCACTAACTAAATTAAATGTAAGAGTCAGCTGACTTACTTGAGATTCTCGGACACAGTCTTTGCTTTGTTGTAGTGACCACCCACAGGGTTGGCGGCCGCAAGGATTGATGTTCTCGCCGGTAGGCTGAAATGAGTACGCAAAATCATTTACTACCCAGATACTGACGAAATAGCAGACTTTTTCCTGTTTCGAACATGATAGTGGCTCTGCGCGCAGTAAACTTACCATTCATATCTTCACATGGAAAGACAACGATGTCAGTCTGGGTAACCGATTTATCATTAACTTTTGTCAAACCACGAAAGATTCCATTTGACCAAATAACGTCAAGAAAACGTGCAAAATTTTAGAAAGAACACACTGATACGAAACCGGTTCGGCCGGTTTTTCAGAGAAGGCAGCGTGGCAGAATTGTTCGTACAGAGGAATTGTAATCTAATGGTCCCCGGCGCAAGCCATCTTACTTGCTACCCACCAGACTTGTTACCACTTTCTCCGAGTTTAACTCCTTTACTGAGTATTGTAAATATTCAACAGATTGGTCTCCTACTAACTGGTCATTTTGCCCGTTCTATGTTGTTTTTTTTTTCTCTCGTTCTTTGTCCTTGTAATAATTTCTATCATTATACTTTTCTTAAAGGAATAAAAAAAGAAGAGGACACGATATAAAATAAAATACACCTTTACTGACCTGCAAACAACGCCGGCTTTTGCGATACTTATACTTTGCTGTTCCTAAAAAGACAAGATGAAAAGATCCTCAAGACACACATGAACTAGTAATCTTGTTCTTTTCACATTTGGAGCCTTTCATTCTGAGCACATCATCAAGGGGAAAAGTTGATTCTCACATAAGCCTCGTGTACACTAAACAATTCAATTATGAGTTCGAGATTGCTATCGCGCAATGATCAATCAGGGCGAAGCCCGAAAGAAATATTACGCGTGGAAATCGAGAGCGAATAATCTAGTAATTGTTTGGTACATATCTACTCGTCGTTCAAAACTTAGCAGGATCATGTCTTGCGTTCAATTTGTTTATACAACCGCATACTGCCTAGTCACCCTCTTTACTTACCATCTATCATGGTATAGACAGCGGGTAGAATGACCCATCAGATTTCAGGATTTACGATAGGACACCACTAGATTTATTCTGAATGTGGATAAAGATAAGTTTAATGTGAATATTCAAACCTCACCATTGCTTCAAGCAAAGCCTGATGTTGGCTCCCCATCTTGTCGAATTCATCAATACAGCAGCAACCTAAACCAGTGTATTACAAGGGAAAAAAGAACTGAATTTGATTGGGCCATCATTATAACTAATGTTTCCTTTCCCCATCGCCTTCCGCCTCGTTTCATGGGCTCAGTTCATTGGGTAAAGCAAACAAAAAAGGAAAGAAAAAAGGATTTGAAAAGAAAATCGACACCAACTGTTGGCGTGGTGGAGGGGGAATAATTTGCTTTGAGTAAGAATTCTTTCAACTCCTGTCCAGAGTATTTTTCCAGTCTAGATATATTTGCGAGAATCGATTTTTTTTCTTCTGAAATCAATCAAATAACGAAAAAAGTAAATAAACAATGCATACAACGTACCTTGGTCTCCTAACACAAGTGCTCCAGCCTCTAAAGAATAATCTCCAGAGGAGCCTTCCTTAGACAGTGTAACCTAAAAAACAACGTGGCAAATGGAGTATAAAAGGTGTTTACTTCAAATTGTCCTTCCCTCCCGTTTGATTTTCGCCGCTTCGAGCGTCTGAATCAGGATATCAACCTTTCTATTAAAAATACAAAGGTTTCTTCATAATTCAGTTCTTCCAAGAGAACGTAGATGGAAAATTATGTAGACAAAACACAAATAAATTTGTTACCGTGAGTCCTGAGGTTGACGTTGCATTTCCACAGACATAGACGCCTCTTGGAGCAACATTGGACACTGCCTGAAGCATCTGCACTCAAGACACACACACGAGAAGTATAAAATAATAGAATGCTTTCGCTTGGTGCCTGATTGTTATCGCCCCAAAAGTAATTCGGCCCGTTTCACAGATTCTGTCAGAAAATATTGCAGATACCATAGGCCCTCGCACTGGTCCACAGGTGTGTTTAGATGAGAGTATGGAAACACGGTTGTGAGATTTTAGTCGTCTGTTTGAGAAATATTTAATGAACGCGATAGAGAACTTAGCTGTGTCTAAATGGCTACATTTTAACACTCTCGAAAGTTATGCAAACCTTATACTTGTGACTCAAGTTTTAGATCTTCAAACACCCCTCTTGTAAAGATGAGTTTACCTTACCACTGAATCCCTGAATTTGAAACAGGTACTCGTTTACTGACTTTACGTTTAGTCGCAGTTTTAAGCTGAACTTCGACTCCAACAATTTAATTGTCACATTAGCGTAGACAATGATATAAGCCACTGAGTCATATTCGTTTTGATTTTCCTTGATCTTATAGCTCTGCGCCTCTGAACGGCTCCAACTTCAACATTGATGAAAACCAGCCTTAAGCTTTGCAAAATACCATGCACTCATCTCAAATTTTAAAGGAAAGAGATTGGTGTAAAAAATATGACTAAGAAGGTTAATCAAACCAGCATCTATTCCAATCACCTGGCTTTTCCCCAATCCTGGGTCTCCAACAACCAAAATGTGTGGATTGCCTCTCACTGGAATACGATTCTGTAAAAAAAATTGTAAGCAACGTTTAGATGAGGTGAATCTTAACATTACATCATTCTTTTTTTCCTGGAGGCATGTGACTTCATTTACATAAATCCGAAAGTATGCTTCCTAATTCACTTTTCACCTTTACATAACTCCAAAGGTCAGATCCACAGTTCCCCCTTCCAGCTTTCAAACATCTCCGTGTAAATCATAAGAGAATTTAGTGATTAAGGCAACACCCTCAGCTGATAATTTTACCTTTTCTCATCACCTGTTTTCTTTGATAGAATACTACTAACCCAATGCATTTAAAAGAGGGATGTGATTGTTTGTCTCACGATGTGGTCACTTTGAATGTGGATCGCAACGGTTCGACTACATACTGCTGGTCTTCTTCGGGCGAAGATTTTAAATATACGTGTGTGTGTTATAATCCATTATCATCTGAAGAAGACAAACAGTATGCGGTCGAAACTAGGGAGTTTCCTTGCATGGGTACTCACGTCCCGTTCGTTACTCCCTTTTGGCAATTTTTTTTTTTTTTTTTTTTTTTTTTGTACGTGTAACTTCTCGTTTATTACTTTTGTAACTCAGTAGAATGCCAATAAAATTAATTAAAAAAAAAAAAAAAAAAAAAAAAAAAACGTCGCGAACCACATCCAAGGTGACCACATCGTGCGGCAAACGATTATATTTCTCTTTTGAAAGTGTTATTTACCATGATGACTTATCAAACCATTTTACGATTTACCACCCTAATGGCTGGCAAATCTCGCCTCCCCCTCCTCCCCCAGCCCCAATCCAGAAGACTATCAACACTGAATCGATCATCGGAAGGGAAAAAGGTAGCGAGGTACGGTGGGGAAGTTTAAAACGTGTTTTCCAATTAAAAAAGAGGGTGGAAAGACTGAAAGAGTGAATTAACAATACAGGAAAACCAAAAGAAGGCAAAAGAAACAGAAAGACTCAGTAATGACTGGGTCAGAGAGACAGAGATGAAGGCAAGTACAGTACATTCCTGACTGTCAAAGTTATCAGCAAAGGTAAAAAAATCGACATTTTTACCCCTGTTAAAGATAGGGTAACAAAATTAAAACTATACCTTATCATTCAGGTATCTCTGGGTTCCACCAAACAGGCCTAACACCAAACCTGCTTTCACCATCTAACAAAAGGAATAATAATGATGATGAATGAAGAGGTTTTTGGCATCAAAATCAAATATCAATTGCTTACAAGAAAATTTCCTTTTATTTCCTCAGTCTGAGACATTTACAAACTAGGTAAATTAGAAAACAATACCTCGTGTCCATAGATTGAAGGGCACAAAGAGCTGCAATTGGAAATGAGGTAGAAAATGTTTTACCTTACAGAAAAAAGGCAAACTTTTCTCAAAATCACTAACAGACTTAATCCAAGTAATTTTATTACTTAATTTTGCAAATCTCTCAAAAATGTTTTAGAGTACTCAGAATTAATCATAAGCAAGAGGCAGTCCATAGTTTTCTTGGAATTATTGAAAATTCTACATGATAGTCTGAGTAATGAAAATAAATAAAATAGTATGCATACATACACTTGAGGGAGTAAAAGAAACAAACCAACTTCAATTAAAAATGCATTCTAATACTCTCACCCAACAATCAATCGAAACAAGTTCTTCTGAGCCTGAATTTCTTGAATGGCATACAGTTCCTATCAAATGAGGAAAAAAAAAGAAAAAAAAACTCCAGGCTCAGAAAAATGTATATTTTCCTAAAATTAGCTTAAAGTACTTGTTAGACAATGAGCATTATATAGTCAATGCCACAAAAGTAGCATATCATGGGTGAACAACAAGATAAAAAAAGGAAAGTTTTGATGTGAATAGAAATCATTTTAAAACAAGGAGGATTTTTCAAATACAAAGTGTAAATGAAAAAACCTTAATAGAAAATTCCATGGCCAGTCCACTGGTTTGTTCGGTAGCCCCAGTTCCTCCCTTGTTATTATTCACAGCATTGACATGGAGGTAAAGTAGGAACATGCACTTGTCTTTGTTGCTCTTGTTGCGATCTACCAGTAAACAGTTCAGAAATGTACTGTCAGTAATTAAAAAACAGATGCAAGGAGGCGTAAAAGGGGTCTTCTTTAATTGGGACACTGATGCTGCACAGCAGTGAATCAATTTCCTGAGGACACAAGGACTGATCGTTGTTATGATAGGAACTAATTATCTGTAATTCAAGGCGTGACTTGATTGACAAGAGGCACACACCTCTAGGAACTAAATATAACAGATCTTATGTGTAACTACATGCATGATTTCAGCCATATGAAATAAACTGGTTGTTTTGAAACCGAAAGCTGTCTTCTCCCAATCTACCACACAAACAAAACAATCATGGTTAAATTGTGGTATATTTGACAAGGGCTTAGTACCAGCAGATTAAGGTATAACCAACTTGAAAATTTGAGTGGTATGATATGTCAACTACCTGTGCATTGTAGTTCTCCAACTCTGAATGTATAACCCAGCATTAAAGACAGACCAAAGAGCTCATTGACTAACATTTTGCAGTTGCACATTAAGCAAAACAAATCCATACACAAGCTTTTGAACAAAATTCCCTTGTATGTACTTCGCTTGACTTGATGAAAATGAGCTTTCCCAACATAAATTGTTTGTTCGAAGTGCTATTGTTTCTTTTCCTTTGAAATTGTTTGGATTTTCATAGAAATTTCATTTCATGGGCACCATGTTTAATGATAATGCTTGTTAAAAAAAAAAAAAGGGTTTAATTAAAAGACAGCTGGATCTATTTGCTCTACAGTTCTTTCTTCCAACTACCTACTTTCTTCTGTTCCTGTAGCCTTCACAATCCCAGTAACGGTAACCATATCACCTGGAACACAGCTGTCCACTAGCAAAAAGAGGACAGAGAACATAGGAAAAAAAAAATCATGTTACTCTACCTGACAAAATGTACTACAGGTATCCATGTCGGACAGGAAACCAAGTTTGACTTTTATCAGTTCCTAAATTCAGGAGATTACTTAACAGGGAACAGATACATGGAGATGTTCCTTGATTATTCGGATGAGTTTATTCAATTGCTCTTCCTCTCTTTTCACTGCAGTTACTGTAACTAATAGCTAAGCAAAGTCCTAATAAAAGCAAACAAACCTAGAGGTACATGTATCACATCGGTTTGGATGATAAGAATAAATGTTACAGAGAAAAGAAGATATATTTAGTATGAAAAAATCTTGGATACTATTAACCCTTTAACTCCCGTGAGTGACCAAGACAGAATTTCTCCTTACTATATCTATACAATATCATACAGACAAGTGATGAGAATAAAGAAAACTGTCAATTATGGGATTACTAATTGATCCAATATCAAATTCTCCAAACTAACATAATGATAATTGTTTGGCAGACAGTAAGGAGAATTACTAATGTGATCTTGGGAATTAAAGGGTTAACCCTTTAACCCTAACATCAGTATGCATATTCTCAACATTGCTCTATAATTACATTTCAGAAAATGCTGTTGGGGAGGATTTGTTTGAAAATCAAGCACTTCTTTAGTGATCATTTTCCTTTATTATTGTGAAATAGCTTTATGATTTGGGTAATTTTGTCAGGAGAAAATATATACTTATAACAGACTCCTAGGGGTTTAAGGGTTAATTTTCATATACATTTAAAAAAAGAAAAAGAAAATCTTCATACACCAAATTAGAAGATCATAGATTCATACCTAGATCAGCAGTCAGTTCACACTCAACAGTTCTTGGAATTCTTCCAGATTCACGTTGGTCATCATCCATGATTTCCTGAACTCTTTGGGAAGAGAGAACAAACATTGAAACCAACATCTTTGCTAAAACCATTCTTTTTAATTTAGTCACCATGGTTTCAAACTATTGTAGACTGAAAGAAACTTATGATATACTCTTTAAAGAATTTGATAAAAGGAATGAGTAGGCAACCTTAGAGGGTAAAAGAAAGTTCCACAACTACAGCTCAACAAAACAGCTTGCAAGGATTTTGAAAGCTGTGCAGTTAAATTTTATTCAGTCCCTGATCCTCTTCATATTTTTGCATAATTTTTGATCTTGTGCATATACATGTACAGAATATACATTTATACATGGGCACATCTGCATCTCCTGTGTCAAGCAGAGGCCTACAGTACACTGCATACACTGTCTGATGTAGAAGTTAACCCTATGTTACACTCTAACATTAGTAAGCATATTCTCTATACTGTTCTCTATACCTTTCTGAAGGTGCTGAAAGGGGGAATTTGTTTAACAATCAAGAGCTTCATTAATTGGAGATCATTTTATTTATGATCATGGCCTTAATATTTGATTCAGGGTGGTATTGTAAGGGAAAATAAGACCTTAGTCACCCTTACAGGTCAAAGGGTTAAACTTAAATAGGTCATTCGTTGACAAGTAGCTCTGAGCCACAATAACTCAATCTCACAGTGTAGACCTCTCTCCTCCCACAATACTTCACTCTTACAGTGTAGACCTCTCTCCTCCCACAATACTTCACTCTCACAGCGTAGACCTCTCTCCTCCCACAATACTTCACTCTCACAGTGTAGACCTCTCTCCTCCCACAATACTTCACTCTCACAGTGTAGACCTCTCTCCTCCCACATTATACTTCACTCTCACAGTGTAGACCTCTCTCCTTCCACAATACTTCACTCTCACAGTGTAGACCTCTCTCCTTCCACAATACTTCACTCTCACAGTGTAGACCTCTCTCCTCCCACAATACTTCACTCTCACAGTGTAGACCTCTCTCCTCTCACAATACTTCACTCTCACAGTGTAGACCTCTCTCCTCCCACAATACTTCACTCTCACAGTGTAGACCTCTCTCCTCCCACAATACTTCACTCCCACAGTGTAGACCTCTCTCCTCCCACAATACTTCACTCTCACAGTGTAGACCTCTCTCCTCCCACAATACTTCACTCTCACAGTGTAGACCTCTCTCCTCCCACAATACTTCACTCTCACAGTGTAGACCTCTCTCCTTCCACAATACTTCACTCCCACAGTGTAGACCTCTCTCCTCCCACAATACTTCACTCTCACAGTGTACACCTCTCTCCTTCCACAATACTTCACTCCCACAGTGTAGACCTCTCTCCTCCCACAATACTTCACTCTCACAGTGTAGACCTCTCTCCTCCCACAATACTTCACTCCCACAGTGTAGACCTCTCTCCTCCCACAATACTTCACTCTCACAGTGTAGACCTCTCTCCTCCCACAATACTTCACTCCCACAGTGTAGACCTCTCTCCTCCCACAATACTTCACTCCCACAGTGTAGACCTCACTCCTCCCACAATACTTCACTCTCACAGTGTAGACCTCTCTCCTCCCACAATACTTCACTCTCACAGTGTAGACCTCTCTCCTCCCACAATACTTCACTCTCACAGTGTAGACCTCTCTCCTCCCACAATACTTCACTCTCACAGTGTAGACCTCTCTCCTCCCACAATACTTCACTCTCACAGTGTAATCCTCTCTCCTCCCACAATACTTCTCTCTCAGAGTAGACCTCTCTCCTCCCACAATACTTCACTCTCACAGTGTAGACCTCTCTCCTCCCACAATACTTCACTCCCACAGTGTAGACCTCTCTCCTCCCACAATACTTCACTCTCACAGTGTAGACCTCTCTCCTCCCACAATACTTCACTCTCACAGTGTAGACCTCTCTCCTCCCACAATATGTCACTCTTGCATTGTAGACCTCTCTCTCCTGCCAGGAGTTTAAATTGGTACTAGCAAACTCTTGACAAAAAAGATGTAATGTTAGAGGGGAGGGAAGGGGAGATTTCTGCAATTAGATAGAGATCCCTTCCAAGAGGAAATTAAAGCATACACTCCAAGTCAATTCACACTACAGAAACTGGAATAAGTCATAGTTGATTTTGTTTTCATTTAAATGACCACTCACTTGATAGTTTGCCAGTCAATTGTCTCAGTCATTGGTGAGCTTCTCTCAGGAGTGAAAGATTTGCCACGACAATCCACTGAGGAACACTAATAAAGAAATAATATTCAAAAAGAGGATAGTCCTGAAAACATTAATTACTTCCATGTGCACTGATGACTACCTCTGAGGGTTTTGCTGACTTGCTTTAACTTTTAATTAAGGGAGTTTCCAGCAACAGCTCAACAACATGCAGCCACTGAAAAACTTCTTTGCACTTCAAAGTAGATTCATTTGATTTGGATCTAGGTTTTGGCATGTTTTATCATGAAAATACACATGTAGTAAAGTATGCCTTGTTGTGTATAATGCACATGGGAATATGGGAGATAATCAAAGAAAGATTAGTAAATTATAATTATAATATTATTATAACAGATTCAATGATATCCTAATGATGCATATACAATTAACTTCGCCCTTCAGAGCATCCTAATTTCAAAATTAATGAACTCACAATTCTTAATTTAACACCAAAATGCATGCTGTATACTGCAAATTAAAGTTTTTTGCCTGCTACTATGGTGAGCTTCTTGAAGTTATGGTTCAAATAGCCCTTCTGAGTAATTTGTAAATGTGAGACAAGTTAAAGAATCAAATTAACTTGCCTGAGTTGGAATTGAGTACTTCCCGTCGGTGAGATGAACAACCTTGAAATGACCATGAAAAAAATCAATGTTGCCGTCAGAAAAAATTCAGACATGAGATTGCTTTATTTCTACCACTTAGTCTTGAGAATTTTTTAAAGAAAATAAATTGTCTTCTCATTTTGAGTCTTGCAAAAATTTAGTCACACATTCTTATTTCATTTCAAGTTGCCTTGGAAATCTTGAAATGGCCTACAAAAATCAGCATTTAATTCTGAAATAGTCAGATTCACATACCAAATATGAATACAAAATAACATGACTGCATAATTAAGACATAGACACCATACCTGTGTCTGGCTGCACAAGTTGCATGAAAATGCCATCTTTTTCACCAGAGGTTTAACATTGCTAACTCTTATTACTGTTCCATGGATTGCCACAAACTTGCCTGCAGTTGTTACAGCATACAAGTGAGTGCCAGGACAATTCAAAGGTCTGAGAAAATTTAACTCTGTGTGATTTGGATGATTTTCTGCGAAGTCTTAACTCTTCAACCCCCAAGAGTGACTAACATCAAATTTCTCCTTACAATATCACCCCTGAATTACACATAAAGGTCAGGAGAATAACAGAAATGATCACCAACTGATAAGAGAATCATTTCTTTATTAATTAAACAAATTCTCCTTGTCAACACCTTGGCAAATGTAAAGAGAGCAGTAAGGAGAATATGCATACTGATCTTGGGGTGTAAAGAGTTAAAGTTCCACAGCATACAGAGAAGGTGAAATCAGTTAAAGAACTGAAAACTCACAAGTCAAATTTTTTAAAGAGGTACATGGACACATTTTACATACCCCAATAGCAAGACTTGAGGTTTTTGAGTGGAATGGCAGGCTCAAAGTTTGTTATTCTGGTGGTTAAAATTAAAGCAATTGACATTTAGCTAGTATATAACATATGAGGCACAAAAATGAATCTGCTAAGTAAAGACTGTAAGGAGAGTAAATATCAAAAGACATCACCCTTGAAATAGAAAAACATATATATAAATTGGGTGTATTCATTTTATTTCTACAACTAACATTATGCTCTCCAGGTAACCAAGCAAGCAATGTATTAAAGGAATACCATTTAAGGAGAATTTTAAATTCCATCACTATACACAAATGCTAAAGTAACAAGCAAGCCTCCCTCCCTCCTTTTCTCATGTCTGGTACAAGCTGGAATGTTTGCAAAGCCTACAAATTCACATACCTTGCTTGTATATATGGCAAATCAAACAATGGTGCTCCATGGGGGCTCTCAGCTGTCTCCACAGTCAACAAAACCTTGAATTTAAAAAAAATTAACAAAAAAGGGAAGAAAATCTTTGGAGTCAGTCATAAATCACATCTACATGTCAAAGTATTTCTGTAATTATCAACCTAGCAACATGATCATAACATTTTTTTTAAAAAAAAGTCGAGACTCATCCTTTTAGGAAAGCATTTATAAGAATTAAAGATTTTACTACATTAAGACATTCTACCATCTTTGTACATTAAAATATAAGAAAAATAATTTGTTTTCATAGTTTATACATTTCATCAATAGTTTAATTGAATTAGTATGCTATAAAATTTTAAGGCACTATTAGAAATTACTGGAAATTGCAACATATACTTTAAATAAAGTAAATATTGTAATTATGATAATTATTAGTACATATATACAAAACAAGTGAAATATGCTATTCGTGCACGCTGGCTAGTTTTGAAGTGAATAGGAAGTACTAGTCATCTCCAAGCAGCCAATCACACAAAATCATGCACCACAAGTTCAATTTCCAACCATTTTTCCCCATGATATTGAAAGAAACAACCTAATTTATTGGTTTCTGTGTGGCATATACTAAAAACAGTTATTCACCTCAGTCAGTGTAAGGGAAAGTGATGGATATTTACCTCACTGCTTTATGGCTTGAAGTAAATATTGCCCTCTATTTACCTCCGATGCACCAAACAATTATTACATAATATAAATTATGTATATATTTTCATAAATTCAAAAAATCAGACCATCACAGTTCTGCACTACATTCATAAAAGAGCATACCTGAGAAACTGCCAGGCTAATGCTATGAAGAACTTCTGTAGGCTGATCTCGTAAATCTCCAGCGAAAGATGGAAAACTCTCAGCAAGCTCTGGAGTAATGTTTGAACAGAAAGTTGCAAAAGTGTAAACCAAACAATGACTAGCATGATACAGTTAATTTTCAATTTAAGAATGATATTTTTGTTTTTAGAAAACAAAGAACATTTACAATTCAACCCAAAGAGGCAATCTGAAAATATTTATTTCTAAGTGAGAACAATAAAAAGGAAGACACCAACTTGATGCAAATTGTTTTTTTTTTCTTTTAGCTACTTCATTGAGAATTTCTGTCCCAATGTATCTTGTATTTCCTTGAATAATCACCTACAGTGTAGGAGCTTATTTCAAATTTTTGGCCAAAACAAGGAACACTTAAAAAGAAGGAGGGCACCTTATCAAGGATGGGAAGGGGGGCTCATCATTCCCCTACACTCCTATTCTGCTGAAGTTGAAGCTTAAAAAGTTATGGATAAAGTGGGAATAAAACATGTTTTTGTGAGAGAGGAGCGGTGTACTAATTTGAAGAGGACACTTGTTTGAGAGGTTGGGGCTCATTTGACATGTAGAGCTGGGGGTTTATTCGATTAAATATGGGCTTTGATCACCAAAGTTGTATGTTCTCTATAGATTTTAAAACATTTAAAAAGTTTGTAACTCTGCATTTAATTCTATCCATGACACAATTACCTGTATCTGATATTAGATCCATATAGTCAAACATCACAGCTGCTTTGCTTTCAATCTCATCCTAGGAAAGTGCATTATTCAGATCACTGTTGAGTCAGACCAAGACAAAATTTCTCCTTACAATATCAAGCAAACAAGAGATAAGAATAAAGATAATTATTAGTTGGGGGATTATTAGTTGATCCAATAACAAATTCTTAGAACTGATATCATGAGAATTGTATTGCAGACAGTAAGGAGTAAATTCGTTAACCGTTCGTCATCCGTGCGTTTTTGCCATTCAAACAGATTTCCATCAGTGTCCGTTTTGCCTTTCACTGTCACAATTATTAATGAGATCTTATGAGTGACAGGGTCATATAAGTAAACATGATAAAATATAATGCACACCCTTAAGATTGGTGGAGATCACTCCAATCTGGAAGTAACTGAACAACTACTATGGCTTTTTCTATTTTTACCTTAGAAAGTTGAGCTGCATGTGATTCCACAAACTTCATAATGGCTTTAACTTTGGTTGCAAGAGCTGAGTCTGGGTTATAAACTTCAGAAGAATAATTATTTGAATGGATAATTCCTTAAAGTCAAGATACATTAAATCAAATATATATCCAGTCAACTGGTAAGGGATTCAAGTTAATACTAGACAAGTGTACCATTTGTAACCCTTAACTTCCACAAGTGGTGAACACATAACTTCTCCTTACAATTATGTTTGTGCTTTCACTCCCAATATCTTGATTAAAACTCTTCGCCATGCATTCCTTATAATTTTTTTTTTAAATTATAAAAGTTTGGTGTTGGATCATATGATAATCCCCCAATTGATATTTGTCTTTATTCTCATCACTTGTCTGCTTCATACTGTATTAATACTGTCAAGAGAAATTATGTGTTGATCACTTCTGGGAGTGAAAGGGTAAAGGGTAGGTGTTCATGGATGAAAAATGCACCTGGTTACAAACTAATCCCACAAAACTACCGACTCACCAATGTCAGGGAAGTATAAGTTCCATTTCTTGAAGGGACACGGCGTTAAGCTTGTCTGTATTTGCCGTGCTCTTTGATGTTCCACTTGAGGACTTGAACTTCCTTGGTCTGAACCCCTTTGTGCTAAAGCGATAATTTCATGAAATTACTAACAAATTTTTTCGTCAAGTCACAAGCGTGGAACACAGAAATTTCCATCAATTTCACCTCTTCCTGTCTGGCTCGTTCCTCGAGCACTCTTTCTTCCTCGAAACCTCTGTCCTCTTCCTCTCCAGAAGTTACCTCTTGCTCTCCCGGAGCTCATAATGGGTGAATTGGATTTATGTTTTCATGAATTATTGTGACGCACGACCTTTGGAATCGATAAATAATGTTAAAACAAGGCTCATTTGGGCGCCTAGATAAGTTTCAAATCTGCCGCCATTTTCCCTCCAAAGATCCATGAGCTCTCCTATAAGGCTGTACTTAATTGGTTTAGTTCCTTAAAAAAAGAGCCAATCAACGTCGCGCATCTATCTCCTTTTCCGAATTTTCAACATGGCGGCTGTCGTGAAACAACGATATAGGAAACGTCCTAGACCTCAAGCTCAAGAGAGCAGCCCTCTGAAGAGAAAAGTCGATGAGAACTCGCCAGTAATACTATCATTTAAAAATCATCGGCAAGAGCTGGATTCTCGGCATGACAAACACGAGCGTTTAGTTAAATGTAGCAGAGATGTTACTATTGCAAGCAAACGGATCATTTTTAATCTTCAGCGAGTAGCCGGAGCGAGTGATACGGAGCAGATCTTCAAAGAAGCAGATGAAAAGTTTGTAACGGTTAAAGAACTCCTAAATACGATAGCTTTGGAGTTAGAGGGAGAAGACCCTTTCTTGTTCACCCGAGCGTACTCTCCTGGTGTGCAGGAATACATCGAAGCATTGTCTTTCGCGCATTTTCTCAAGAGAAAAACTTTGATTTCTTTCGACCAAGTTGAAGCGGAGTTGAAATTTTCAAATGAGGATGGTAAAGATCTTGGCTTAAGCTTAAATCCGTTCGACTACGTACTTGGAATCGCGGATCTGACGGGAGAGCTCATGCGTTTCTGCATAAACAGTGCGTCGAGCGGGGACCAAAACACTCCTTTTGAGGTGTGCAGCTTTCTGCGGGAAATTCACAACGCTTTCGTGGCGTTCGGGAATGTTTCTAGGGAGATTGCCTCAAAATTGAGAGTATTGAAGGCCAGTATGAATAAGGTGGAAGTCGCTTGTTACACTTTGAAAGTTCGGGGTTCAGAAATTCCTCAATTTGCTTTGGCTGAAGCACTGGGTGGAGACTTTACTTCTGAAGAAAGGGATTTTAATTGAAAACTGCTATAGCCTTAGCTGTTTCAAAAGTCAGGTATCAGGTTAAATTTATTTATTTGAGAAAACTGAAGCTGTTTGAAAAAAGGAGAGTTATTTCAAAGATTAAATTGTTGAAGAAAATGAATGACACTTTTTAAAAACATGTTTCGACAGTTCTTCTGTCATCTTCGATTTTGAATAATACAAAGTACAAAGTTGAATTTAAAGTGTGTAACAAAATGCTGATTGGACAAAACACACTATAAATTCAACTTTACTTTGTATTATTCAGAACTGAGGATGACAGAAGAACTGTCAAAACATGTCTTTAAAAAGTGTCATTCATTTTCTTAAATTTGTTACATATCTGCTTCTATCCAGACCTTTTGGCAATTAAATTGTTTCTGTCATTTGATACTGTGTTGTTCTAAGGCAGGTAATACAGTTGTGTTTTTGTGAGGCATTTATCCCACTCAATCATTTACACCCTAACATGGATATCAATATTCTCCATACTGTTCTCTCTACATTTCTTAATAAGCTGACAAGGAGAATTTGTAAACAATCACAGACTTTTCTAATCAGTGATCATTTCCTTTATTCTCATTATCTTAATGTGTGATTCAGCAGTTTTACAAGAGCTGAAAAGCTAGCAGATATTTTAACCATCATTTTTACATTTGTGACTTATTGCCATGCCATGTGAATGTTCTGTTTTGTCAGCTTGGATTTTTAACTAGACTTTCAGCTTCTTTAGCACCTAAATGCCTCAGGATATAGTGTTCGAGTGATTGTTGCCCCTGACCATGTATCAAGGAGCCCTAGTTCTTGTCCTAGCTGGACCATTTTGTTATTTTTCTTTACTCTCAAAGTCTATTCCTCTGTTCAGAGGCAGAAATGTCAAAAATTATGAATGGAAGCCTGTCAAGGAAAGATGGCAAATTGCTGTTGGGTTGGGAAAGGGTGGGGGGTGGTGGTGGGGAGATGACCTTGCATGTCCTGGCATACTATCCAAGGGGGAGTAAGAATAAAAGAAAAATTGGTGGTTTCTCCCCTAGCACCTCTGGCAAAATTGGCCTTCTTGTCTGTAGCCTGACTTGACCAAAATGTATCACTTCAGGTCAGACAGGGTCTCCTTACACTGGCTTTCAAATTTGGCATGAGTGCAACTTTAAGTTTTTAGACAAGTTCTCCTTATGCTGGCTTTCAAATTAGGTGCAAGTGCAACTTTAAGATAAGGGAAATTACAAAGTCAGAAACTGATACAGCTCCTCAAATTAACATACTGTTTGGACGCCAGAAGGGAAACGCAAGCGAGGTCGCCCCAAGATCACATGGCGACTGACAGTTGAGAAGGAAATAAAGGAGATGGGGAAGACCTGGGAGGGCATCAAGCTATTGGATTTAAATTCGAGGCCATATTTTTTCTAAACTTTAGTAAGGGCAAGAGACTTCAAATCTCCGCCTATTAGCTTGGTTCATCAGCAAATCCCTTCACAAGCAACCCTGTGGAAAAAGCAAGTAATCTACTGCCTCGATTTTCTGCCATCTGATGTTGTACATATTCAGTGGCAGTCAGCTCTGAAACAAAAAGTTGGGCAGTTTATTTAGTGTTGAAGGCTTTTTGTCACTCATCATTTATTAGGCTAAACTCAAATTATTGTCTAAAGTAACAGAATATAAAAAATGTGGTACATTTTGACTTACCACATATAGCATGTAAAGATGAGCATTAAAGAATTAAATTTAACAACAATTTTTAGAAAATACACATTACCTAGGAAATAAAAAGGCCATTCTCTGTTCAAGGCTTCTGGTGAAGAAGAGTTCTGGGGCAGATCCCAGATATAGTAAATGGGGGTCCCGATAAATGTCTGCTGAGGGCACGGGGGTCAGGGGTGTCCCCCCCCCCCTGGGAAATTTTGAAATTTAGGTCCTGGGATGGGTGATTTCCAGCATTTAATATTGAGGGACAATTGTAGGTTGTTTCATGCCTTTTACACAATCTCCATTTTTAGCTATTTCAGACATACATTCTGTCCACTAAAGTTTTGCATCGGAAATTGCATTTGTTTAAATGTTCTTCAATCCAGTTTAGGAGTTTTAAGCTCCCACTCTATACCTACCCCAAGGAATAAAGGTAAAGTACATTACAAGGGTTAATAACAGTCTCTCAACTTATCCCAGTTTTGGAAGCAGGAGGTGCATTGAAGTATAGCCACATAGCCACACCCACACCCCTTGGATGGGATACTTGTCCATCCCAGGTTGCCTCCCTGGCCTCTACCCTGTCCCCCTCCCTTGTATTTTGTCAGGTTTTCCTGAAAGTCCAATTGAACTAATTTATATTCTTGTGACGGAGAGAGAGAGACACTAGGTGAGTAACGTGTCTTAGCCAAGAACACAAACACCATTTAGGAACAAGAATGGGAGGTCTCCTCCTTAGGAGAGTGTGTGACCTAATTTGAGTACTTGCTCCACCAAAGCTGTTTATTTAACACATTATACTTTTCATCTCACACAGGGAATAAATTACAGGGACGTTTTTATTTCAATTTTTACCTTAGCGCAAGAAAACCGCCAGAACATCTGCCTTAGCAACGTTAGCTGAAAAGTGACAGGAAAAAAAGAGGATCTCAGTTTTCAGAAAACCAGTCAAAATGCTGCGGAATTCACATCATTATTATGATTGTAACTAAAACTCTTATGATCATTATTTTTTAATTCATTAAATCAATTTTTACTGAAAAGTTATATCCCTGATTGCAATAACAGGGAAATTAGAGGAAAAAAGAAAAAAGCCAAATTCAAATTAACTAGCATAGTCATATGGCATTAGCATATGATTTTTATTTTTTGCCTTCTTGGAACCACGTTAAATTTCCAAACAGACATCTGACACGCTCCAGAAGTTTGAGAGAATTTTTCATAGGAAATTCTGTGAAAATTTTCCTGTTGAGGGATTATGGTCAGAGCCAGTACTTTTATGTGCCGATCACTTCCTACTTTGCTTTTTCCTTTTCTATTTTTGTTTCTTCCAACAACGTTATTTCATTGAATATGAGAGTGATCTTCCCAGTAATGAACACAAAAACTGTTTAGGAACAAGAAAGGGAGGTCCCTACCCTTAAAAAAGGTATGGCCTATTTTATATACTTGCTCCACAATAGGAGTCGTTAGGTTTTAATTAAGTTTCAATTAGGTGTATGATGCTCCAAAGTAATTAGCAATTTGATAAAATGCAAAAATCAACTCTTGAAAAGCTGAAGCCTCGATGGGGCTTGGATCCGCATTCAGATACTGTTTGGACGCTGCTTCCAGCTGAACTACGACGACACAAGATAGAATTAAGTTCTCAATTTTTCTTTGCTGTACATGATTGGTCCAAAAGAAAAATGTGCCACATTAATTTTCAACCAATAAGATTGAAATAAAAATCAGTGGAGATTTGGCAAGCCGCGTTTTTTCGCGCTTCAAGCCGTTTGCTAGTTGTTACTTTCATTGGCTTCTTGTAATATTTACTCATCAATTGATTGGCTGTTGTGATAATGTTGGTTTTGGTATCACAACACTCATTCCAAAGCGCCCTAATATATGAAGGGATTCAAGTAAGGCCCACTGATAATCAATAATCAATGCTGAGCAGAGAGCGAAAGCTTAAAAATTTTTCTCCCTCTCTCAGCCTCATCAGCTTTGCATTTTAGTTTTATCAAAGGAAAAGCGTGGCGGTCTTGTTCAGTTTCCTCTTCTTAGGCTGGGAGTTAATTCGTAACGTCAATATACTCACCTTCAGTGTTCCAGTTGGTGTGTGTAGCCAACGTGCTGTACAACACAGCGTTTACTCCATAACGCTTTTCCCATTCACAAGGAGTTGAGGTAATACACAGCCAGCCGGAATCAACATGGCAGCCACCATAATTCCTGTTAATGAAGAAGTTCCGATTGGTCAATCCTTGGATGGAAAAGGAGTTCTGTTCCTCTGATTTCACATTTTCCCATGGCAAGGGCTCCTTCAATTTGTCCTTTGAAAACCAGTTCAATTTGTCCGTTCCCGTGGCGTCGAAGAAAAGCTTCTTGACAGCGCTCCCGTCTTCGTAAAGGACAACTTTGGCCTGTAAACGCAGAATAGATAATTATCGCTCCTAGTTTCCTTTAAAGAACTTCTGCCCAATGAACCCTGTGTAAATTATATCTTGTTTGGCTACCGTTACGGTTGAGTTTAATCCGGTTCATCGTGATTTCCGGTGCGTGTCATACCATGTCATATGTACCTCTGCCTGCATGTGAGACGCGTGCGAGAAGCTAGAGAAGCGCTCCTCTTACAACTGACTTTTATCACCCAACGGGTACATGACAGACCTATGCACCTCAAGATTTCTTATGGCCCTCATGTTTAACGTTATTAACACCCTTGTTACCTCAGATGCAGCAAACTCAGCCCACTTCAGGATTATCCTGCTTTTGTAGTCGCCAAGGTGCTGGTTAGTGACGTCGAGAGCGCTCATGTCATTCTCAGCGAGAGTTTCACCCGAATTGAAAGTGTTGAAAGCACTCTCCTTCGCCCCGGACACCGCCTTGAATATCATGGTCCATCCTTGTGAAAACAGGAGAACAGGTAATAAACAAAATTAGTCTACATATTACAGTCATAGGTATTTCAGTACCACGGTAACAAACCCAAATTTCACAGTGACAAAATGAAAATACTATTTTCATTTTTGACAAACAAATTTAATTGCTGACCAGTGCTTCCTAAGAACTATTCTCCTTCTGTTCTTACCTCGATATAGAACATTTTTTATAACTAGGTTTTTCTTTTTTTTTAATACTCCTAAAAATTTTTTTTGAAGACCTTATAATCTGTATACCATAACCTGTCATGCCAGAAGCTTGCCCGCAAAATCCCATGAAGGAATGCAATTGCTCGTTTAGCAACATTTCAATATTATGTTCTACCCTCAATCACAAGGAATAACGCTGAGGAAAAGTAGAAAATTTTTCCAGATGTTAAAACATCAGTTTGACCTTACAACGCAAACTGAAAGATCGTTATTTTCAAAATAAAAGAAAAGGAGCGTGAAAGAAGCACTAGCGAACTGTAGGAATGCAAAATCGTATAAAGGCCTGAAGCAGATGCTCAAGTGTCAGGACATGACACTCTTCTTTTGATCAAATCAAGCTAAACTCAAACTAATTTTAAACTCACCTCCATTAGACATGTCACAGTAAACTGGAAAAACACTGGGATCACCTGGATATGAAACGAAAATTTTATAAAAACTTGGTACCGCTAGTGAGCTTCATTCCTAACTGATTTAAAACTCATATTGTACTTACACCCCACTGTTTGAAGGATTAATTGTAAAACAAAGAGTTTTTAATCAATCAGAAACAATCAAAGGTGAAACTCCTGCGTTCAAAATTGTGAAATGAATTCACCCTTTCAGTGAGCGTCCGTTGGCAAATTTGTTCCAAGCGAGGATAGACCTATGATAAGCCATTGGTACAACTGTGGCGAATGTTACCTAGAAACTTGATCGGTCTTGGGTCTTGCAAATGTTTTATCCAGACGTGAAATCGCGTCAACCTTTGCGATGAGGCTCAAAGTTTCACAGGGAAGCTGAAGTTTTTTAGGGTTATGGTTGTGGATGTGGAAAGTCTCTATACCATCCATGCCGTTCGAAAATATTGCAATTTTTATTCAGAGATCTATTGCCAAGACAAACTCGAAAGAGAGGTTTGACAATCTAAACAGCGATTTATAATACGTGAAAAATATTTCTGAGTGGGTCGAGGTTATTAAACGATGAAAAGTTGTTCAGCCAACATTATTTATTCTCGAACTTTCAAACCGAGGTCAGGGCGTTTTGACGAGACTTAAATTTTACCATTCGCCCTGTCTACATAACAAAGAGAGTTTACTTAAAAAGCTTGCAGAAATTAAAGTTAAAAAATATTTTTGATCTTACTCTTGAACGTAAGCCAGTAAATTCCATCGTCGGCTGCGGCGTCTTCCTCCATGATTTCCTTACACGAATAAGCTGGATTCGCCCTTGAATTTTTGGGAGTAGGCATTTCAAACTGGAGAGGTTTATATTCGCTGCCATCACACATCAGCAATTTCCCATCTTCAAGTTTCAATTGGCCCGCTGATTTGGCTTTGCACTCGCAGTTGTGTTTCTTAACAATGGGACCACATTTGTATTTCTTGCCAGCCGATGTGAAAAGCACGGTGCTGATCAAGATAAGGCCCAGAACGACCAGATATCTCATGTTGACGGTTTATCTGAAGAGAGAGCAGAAAGCGTTTAATACGAAGATGAATTTGTGCTCTGGTGGAACACCGAGTTGTTTATCAATATGGGATTTTCAAATCCTCAGAAACTCTAGTTATAGGAGTACAAAAATGCAGAATTTACTGTAGCAAAGTGATGCATTAAGCAAGCTTAAAGTTCAAAAAATTTCCCCCCCTGCATGTTCATTGTCCACGGAAATTTCCCAAATGGGTGTAAATTTGTCCATCACCAGCGATGCAACAATGTGCAATTAACGTTGTTATCGGAAAGTTTAAGAGTATCGAGAGACAGAGAGGCTTTGTTACACATGTACTTCAGCAAGATTAAGTTCTTTTTTTGGGTCATTGAGGGGAAACTCGCAAGGCAGCCTATTCAAAATATATACGCGAAAACAATAAAGCGAAGTCCCTTTGTGAATGCGTGGACAACTGACGACATCTAGTTTCAGAGTCTGAAAATTGATTAATCTGGTAGACAATATGTGAAAGTTCTGACCGAACAGCAAACTAACTGGAAACATGTAGCTAATCTAAACGTGGTGGGAAAAACTCGATCGGCATCTCTATGTGGGAAGGGCAAACCTTTAGGACAAGGAAAGGGTAATTTTTAAAAAAAAACCTTCAGCAAATTATATTAGTTAAAGAGAGTTTCGAGAGAAGGGAGAGCACTAATTTGTCTCAGAGCTTGGTCTCTTTTTTAAGGTGAATCTCCTCAGCATTCTGAGACGAAATGAAACCTACCTTGAGTGTGCTCTGACTGAATTCTCGGCGAAGAACTTCTAAGGAACGATTATCGCTTTCCTATTGAGTTTTCATACAAACCAACATCGGAAGACATTGTCAATCAAACACAACAACCCCCCACAAAGTTCTGTAAAAGAAGCTATAAGTTATTTCCAAGAAACAAGGCATGTTCACCAAAAATGTAAAGAACGATCCTGTACAAAATAAAAACTAATTAAAACTAATTAAATGAGGCGAAAGATAAATGCCAATAAAGTGCTCTCTTAGGACGCACGGGTTATTCGTTTTCAAACAGTTCATATTTTTAACACTCGTAATTGGTAAAAGCAGAATTAGTGAAATTAAATTATCCTACCTTTTTTTATTGAATTGCTATTTTTGTTATTTTTAGAATTCCTCTGGGTGAAAATTGTACCTTAGCTAGACAATTTTATTTCACCTCGGGATCCGCTGAAATATTTGCGTGAAGCGTGATTTAATTCGTGATCCCGATTTTAAAAATAATCCTGTCAAACCCAGGGACCAGTCAAGACTGCAACGCCGAGGAAAACGTGGATTAAAAAAAAAAAACTTACATTGCTTATGAATTTTGCGAATAACTGGTTTTGTTTACCGTCTCTTAGGGCGCCAGACTCCGACTCCTTTCGGCACAACATGTGTTCGTGATTGAGTATTACATGGAAATTTCTATGGACCTGTTTTTGACAAAAAGTCAGTATTAAATAGAAAATTCAATATTTCCATATAACCGTTTTGGTCAGAAATGTTTTATACTGTTTTGTATACATGAATGAGTATTACATGGAAATTTCCATGGATCATTTTGGCGAGGTGCTTTCTTAATGAAATCGTAAAAATATTACATGGAAATTTCCATGTACCCGTTTTAATTGTTCAAGAATGATTGATACTGTTTTGTGTGATTTAATTCGTGATCCCGATTTTAGAAATAATCCTGTCAAACCCAGGGACCAGTCAAGACTGCAACGCCGAGGAAAACGTCGATTAAAAAAAAGAACTTACATTGCTTATGAATTTGCGAATAACTGGTTTTGTTTACCGTCTCTTAGGGCGCCAGACCCCGACTCTGTTCGGCACAACATGTGAGCTGCGTTGGCTTCCAAATGGGAACAAACTAAGTATTATGCCAATTGGACCAGTCGGGGTTTCTTTTCACTTGCTACTCAAATTTGATAATTTCACGCTCCAGTTTTGCGGGGAACATGAACAGAATTTAAGAAAGCGCGTGCTCAGCTTTTGTTCTGCTCGTTAAATATTTTGTTTTACTTACTTTGCCTTCGCCGCCGTGGTTCACCTGTAAACTACTTTCAGGAATGCGAATGCGAACGAAGAATCAAAAACAGCACGATTCGTTCAGTGTCTTGTTTTTTTTCGTTTAATATTTTTGCTATAAATGTCTGATTAGGGCATTTGCCTTTGCTTTCAGTGTCACGCGAGTTTGTTTTCAGTGTTTTGCGCGTTTGGAATTTGTTGAAGGATCGATTAACACATAAAATCCATTTCGAATTGTCGGCTACAGGTTCTATGCTTTGAAAATACAAGTCCCTCGTGCGTTTTTTAATTTTTTTTCCAACACCAAATATGTCAGCCGGCATTCATTTTGCATGAACATAAAATAAATTCGTTATTTTTTTTTATTTGTATAACAAAGATGATAACCACCTTGCTGGATTCAGGTAGCAAGTGTTGCAATGCTAATTACTCCGTTGTTAACTTTTATTTTTAACTAGAAACAATGCAGAAACCTGATGAAGGAACTCTCACCGTCGATAAAGTGGGAATAAAACATGTTTTTGTGGGAGAGGAGCGGTGTACTAATTTGAAGAGGACACTTGTTTGAGAGATCGGGGCTCATTTGACATGTGGAGCTGGGGGCTTATTCGATTAAATATGGGCTTTGATCACCAAAGTTGTATGTTCTCTATAGATTTTAAAACATTCAAAAAGTTTGTAACTCTGCATTTTATTCTATTCATAACATGATTACCTGTATCTGATATTAGATCCATATAGTCAAACATCACAGCTGCTTTGCTTTCAATCTCATCATAGGAAAGTGCATTATTCAGATCACTGTTGAGTCAGACCAAGACAGAATTTCTCCTGACAATATCAAGCAAACAAGAGATGAGAATTAAATAAAGATAATTATTAGTTGGGGGATTATTAGTTGATCCAATATCAAATTCTTAGAACTGATATCATGAGAATTGTATTGCAGACAGTAAGAAGAGTTATTAATGAGATCTTATGAGTGACAGGGTGACTTGACAGAATAAAATGCACACAATCTGGAAGTAACTGAACAACTACTATGGCTTTTTCTATTTTTACCTTAGAAAGTTGAGCTGCATGTGATTCCACAAACTTCATAATGGCTTTAACTTTGGTTGCAAGAGCTGAGTCTGGGTTATAAACTTCAGAAGAATAATTATTTGAATGGATAATTCCTTAAAGTCAAGAGACATTAAATCAAATATATATCCAGTCAACTGGTAAGGGATTCAAGTTAAAACTAGACAACTGTATCATTTGTAACCCTTAACTTCCACAAGTGGTGAACACATAACTTCTCCTTACAATTATGTTTGTGCTTTCACTCCCAATATCTTGATTAAAACTCTTTGCCATACATTCCTTATAATTTTTTTTTTTGAAATTCTGAAAGTTTGGTGTTGGATCATATGATAATCCCCCAATTGATATTTGTCTTTATTCTCATCACTTGTCTGCTTCATACTGTATTAATACTGTAAAGAGAAATTATGTGTTGATCACTTCAGGGAGTGAAAGGGTAAAGGGTAGGTGTTCATGGATGAAAAATGCACCTGGTTACAAACTAATCCCACAAAACTACCGACTCACCAATGTCAGGGAAGTATAAGTTCCATTTCTTGAAGGGACACGGCGTTAAGCTTGTCTGTATTTGCCGTGCTCTTTGATGTTCCACTTGAGGACTTGAACTTCCTTGGTCTGAACCCCTTTGTGCTAAAGCGATAATTTCATGAAATTACTAACAAATTTTTTCGTCAAGTCACAAGCGTGGAACACAGAAATTTCCATCAATTTCACCTCTTCCTGTCTGGCTCGTTCCTCGAGCACTCTTTCTTCCTCGGAACCTCTGTCCTCTTCCTCTCCAGAAGTTACCTCTTGCTCTCCCAGAGCTCATAATGGGTGAATTGGATTTATGTTTTCATGAGTTATTGTGACGCACGACCTTTGGAATCGATAAATAATGTTAAAACAAGGCTCATTTGGGCGCCTAGATAAATTTCAAATCTGCCGCCATTTTCCCTCCAAAGATCCATGAGCTCTCCTATAAGGCTGTACTTAATTGGTTTAGTTCCTTAAAAAAAGAGCCAATCAACGTCGCGCATCTATCTCCTTTTCCAAATTTTCAACATGGCGGCTGTCGTGAAACAACGAAATAGGAAACGTCCTAGACCTCAAGCTCAAGAGAGCAGCCCTCTGAAGAGAAAAGTCGATGAGAACTCGCCAGTAATACTATCATTTAAAAATCATCGGCAAGAGCTGGATTCTCGGCATGACAAACACGAGCGTTTAGTTAAATGTAGCAGAGATGTTACTATTGCAAGCAAACGGATCATTTTTAATCTTCAGCGAGTAGCCGGAGCGAGTGATACGGAGCAGATCTTCAAAGAAGCAGATGAAAAGTTTGTAACGGTTAAAGAACTCCTAAATACGATAGCTTTGGAGTTAGAGGGAGAAGACCCTTTCTTGTTCACCCGAGCGTACTCTCCTGGTGTGCAGGAATACATCGAAGCATTGTCTTTCGCGCATTTTCTCAAGAGAAAAACTTTGATTTCTTTCGACCAAGTTGAAGCGGAGTTGAAATTTTCAAATGAGGATGGTAAAGATCTTGGCTTAAGCTTAAATCCGTTCGACTACGTACTTGGAATCGCGGATCTGACGGGAGAGCTCATGCGTTTCTGCATAAACAGTGCGTCGAGCGGGGACCAAAACACTCCTTTTGAGGTGTGCAGCTTTCTGCGGGAAATTCACAACGCTTTCGTGGCGTTCGGGAATGTTTCTAGGGAGATTGCCTCAAAATTGAGAGTACTGAAGGCCAGTATGAATAAGGTGGAAGTCGCTTGTTACACTTTGAAAGTTCGGGGTTCAGAAATTCCTCAATTTGCTTTGGCTGAAGCACTGGGTGGAGACTTTACTTCTGAAGAAAGGGATTTTAATTGAAAACTGCTATAGCCTTAGCTGTTTCAAAAGTCAGGTATCAGGTTAAATTTTCAACAGTTCTTCTGTCATCTTCGGTTTTGAATAATACAAAGTACAAAGTACAAAGTTGAATTTAAAGTGTGTAACAAAATGCTGATTGGACAAAACACACTATAAATTCAACTTTACTTTGTATTATTCAGAACTGAGGATGACAGAAGAACTGTCGAAACATGTCTTTAAAAAGTGTCATTCATTTTCTTAAATTTGTTACATATCTGCTTCTATCCAGACCTTTTGGCAGTTAAATTGTTTCTGTCATTTGATACTGTGTTGTTCTAAGGCAGGTAATACAGTTGTGTTTTTGTGAGGCATTTATCCCACTCAATCATTTACACCCTAACATGGATATCAATATTCTCCATACTGTTCTCTCTACATTTCTTAATAAGCTGACAAGGAGAATTTGTAAACAATCACAGACTTTTCTAATCAGTGATCATTTCCTTTATTCTCATTATCTTAATGTGTGATTCAGCAGTTTTACAAGAGCTGAAAAGCTAGCAGATATTTTAACCATCATTTTTACATTTGTGACTTATTGCCATGCCATGTGAATGTTCTGTTTTGTCAGCTTGGATTTTTAACTAGACTTTCAACTTCTTTAGCACCTAAATGCCTCAGTTAGAGAGATACAGTGTTCCAGTGATTGTTGCCCCTGACCATGTATCAAGGAGCCCTAGTTCTTGTCCTAGCTGGACCATTTTGTTATTTTTCTTTACTCTCAAAGTCTATTCCTCTGTTCAGAGGCAGAAATGTCAAAAATTATGAATGGAAGCCTGTCAAGGAAAGATGGCAAATTGCTGTTGGGTTGGGAAAGGGTGGGGGGTGGTGGTGGGGAGATGACCTTGCATGTCCTGGCATACTATCCAAGGGGGAGTAAGAATAAAAGAAAAAATTGCTGTTGGGTTGGGAATGGGTGGGGGGTGGTGGTGGGGAGATGACCTTGCATGTCTGGCAAAATTCCAAGGGGGAGTAAGAATAAAAGAAAAACTGGTGGTTTCTCCCCTAGCACCTCTGGCAAAATTGGCCTTCTTGTCTGTAGCCTGACTTGACCAAAATGTATCACTTCAGGTCAGACAGGGTCTCCTTACACTGGCTTTCAAATTTGGCATGAGTGCAACTTTAAGTTTTTAGACAAGTTCTCCTTATGTTGGCTTTCAAATTAGGTGCAAGTGCAACTTTAAGATAAGGGAAATTACAAAGTCAGAAACTGATACAGCTCCTCAAATTAACATACTGTTTTATTGGATTTAAATTCGAGGCCATATTTTTTCTAAGCTTTAGTAAGGGCAAGAGACTTCAAATCTCCGCCTATTAGCTTGGTTCATCAGCGAATCCCTTCACAAGCAACCCTGCGGAAAAAGCAAGTAATCTACTGCCTCGATTTTCTGCCATCTGATGTTGTACATATTCAGTGGCAGTCAACTCTGAAACAAAAAGTTAAGCAGTTTATTTAGTGTTGAAGGCTTTTTGTCACTCATCATTTATTAGGCTAAACTCAAATTATTGTCTAAAGTAACAGAATATAAAAAATGTGGTACATTTTGACTTACCACATATAGCATGTTAAGATGAGCATTAAAGAATTAAATTTAACAACAATTTTCAGAACATACACATTACCTAGGAAATGAAAAGGCCATTCTCTGTTCAAGGCTTCTGGTGAAGAAGAGTTCTGGGGCAGATCCCAGATATAGTAAATGGGGGTCCCGATAAATGTCTGCTGAGGGCACGGGGGTCAGGGGTGTCCCCCCCTTTGGAAATTTTGAAATTTAGGTCCTGGGATGGGTGATTTCCAGCATTTAATATTGAAGGACAATTGTAGGCTGTTTCATGCCTTTTACACAATCTCCATTTTTAGCTGTTTCAGACATACTTTCTATCCACTAAAGTTTTGCATCGGAAATTGCATTTGTTTAAATGTTCTTCAATCCAGTTTAGGAGTTTTAAGCTCCCACTCTAGACCTACCCCAAGGACTAAAGGTAAAGTACATTACAAGGGTGAATAACATTCTCTCAACTTATCCCAGTTTCGGAAGCAGGAGGTGCATTGGAGTATAGCCACACCCCTTGGATGGGATACTTGTCCATCCCAGCTTGCCTCCCTGGCCTCCAACCCCCAATCCCCTTGCATTTGTCAGGTTTTCCTGAAAGTCCAATTGAACTAATTTATATTCTTGTGACGGAGAGAGAGACACTAGGTGAGTAACGTGTCTTAGCCAAGAACACAAACACCATTTAGGAACAAGAATGGGAGGTCCCCTTAGGAGAGTGTGTGATCTAATTTGAGTACTTACTCCACCAAAGCTGTTTATTTAACACATTATACTTTTCATCTCACACAGGGAATAAATTACAGGGACGTTTTTATTTCAATTTTTACCTTAACGCAAGAAAACCGCCAGAACATCTGCCTTAGCAACATTAGCTGAAAAGTGACAAGAAAAAAAGAGGATCTCAGTTTTCAGAAAACCAGTCAAAATGCTGCGGAATTCACATCATTATTATGATTGTAACTAACTTATGATCATTATTTTTTAATTCATTAAATCAATTTTTACCGAAAAGTTATATCCCTGATTGCAATAACAGGGAAATTAGAGGAAAAAAGAAAAAAGCCAAATTCAAATTAATTAGCATAGTCATATGACATTAGCATATGATTTTTACTTTTTGCCTTCTTGGAACCGCGTTAAATTTCCAAACAGACATCTGACACGCTCCAGAAGTTTGAGAGAATTTTTCATAGGAAATTCTGTGAAAATTTTCCTGTTGAGGGATTATGGTCAGAGCCAGTACTTTTATGTGCCAATCACTTCCAACTGGGCTTTTTCCTTTTCTATTTTTGTTTCTTTCAACAACGTTATTTCATTGAATATGAGAGTGATCTTCCCAGTAATGAACACAAAAACTGTGTAGGAACAAGAAAGGGAGGTCCCTACCCTTAAAAAAGGTATGGCCTATTTTATATACTTGCTCCACAATAGGAGTCATTAGATTTTAATTAGGTTTCAATTAGGTGTATGATGCTCCAAAGTAATTAGCAATTTGATAAAATGCAAAAATCAACTCTTGAAAAGCTGAAGCCTCGATGGGGCTTGGATCCGCATTCAGATACTGTTTGGACGCTGCTTCCAGCTGAACTACGACGACACAAGATAGAATTAGGTTCTCAATTTTTCTTTGCTGTACATGATTGGTCCAAAAGAAAAATGTGCCACATTAATTTTCAACCAATAAGATTTAAATAAAAATCAATGGAGATTTGGCAAGCCTCGTTTTTTCGCGCTTCAAGCCGTTTGTTAGTTGTTACTTTCATTGTCTTCTTGTAATATTTACTCATCAATTGATTGGCTGTTGTGATAATGTTGGTTTTGGTATCAACACTCATTCCAAAGCGCCCTAATATATGAAGGGATTCAAGTAAGGCCCACTGATAATCAATAATCAATGCTGAGCAGAGAGCGAAGGCTTAAAAAGTTTTCTCCCTCTCTCAGCCTCATCAGCTTTGCATTTTAGTTTTATCAAAGGAAAAGCGTGGCGGTCTTGTTCAGTTTCCTCTTCCTAGACTGGGAGTTAATTTGTAACGTCAATATACTCACCTTCAATGTTCCAGTTGGTGTGTATAGCCAACTTGCTGTACAACACAGCGTTTACTCCATAACGCTTTTCCCATTTACAAGGATATGAGGTAATACACAGCCAGCCGGTATCAACATGGCAGCCACCATAATTCCTGTTAATGAAGAAGTTCCGATTGGTCAATCCTTGGATGGAAAAGGAGTTCTGTACCTCTGTTTTCACATTTCGCCATGGCAAGGGCTCCTTCAATTGGTACTTTGTAAACCAGTTCAATTTGTTCGTTCCCGTGGCGTCGAAGAAAAGCTTCTTGACAGCGCTCCCGTCTTCGTAAAGGACAACTTTGGCCTGTAAACGCAGAATAGATAATTATCGCTCCTAGTTTCCTTTAGAGAACTTCTGCCCAATGAACCCTGTGTAAATTATATCTTGTTTGGCTACCGTTACGGTTGAGTTTAATCCGGTTCATCGTGATTTCTGGTGCGTGTCATACCATGTCATATGTACCTTTGCCTGCATGTGAGACACGTGCGAGAAGCTAGAGAAGCGCTCCTCTTACAACTGACTTTTATCACCCAACGGGTACATGACAGACCTATGCACCTCAAGATTTCTTATGGCCCTCATGTTTAACGTTATTAACACCCTTGTTACCTCAGATGCAGCAAACTCAGCCCACTTCAGGATTATCCTGCTTTTGTAGTCGCCAAGGTGCTGGTTAGTGACGTCGAGAGCGCTCATGTCATTCTCAGCGAGAGTTTCACCCGAATTGAAAGTGTAAAAAGCACTCTCCTTCGCCCCAGACACCGCCTTGAATATCATGGTCCATCCTTGTGAAAACAGGAGAACAGGTAATAAACAAAATTAGTCTACATATTACAGTCAAAGGTATTTCAGTACCACGGTAACAAACCCAAATTACGCAGTGACAAAATGAAAATGCTATTTTCATTTTTGACAAACAAATTTAATTGCTGACCGGTGCTTCCCAAGAACTATTCTCCTTCTGTTCTTACCTCGTTATAAAACATTTTTTATAATTAGGTTTTTCTTTTTTTTAATACTCCTAAAGATTTTTTTTTGAAGACCTTATAATTTGTATACCATAACCTGTCATGCCAGAAGCTTGCTCGCAGAATCCCATGAAGGAATGCAATTGCTCGTTTAGCAACATTTCAATATTATGTTCTACCCTCAATCACAAGGAATAACGCTGAGGAAAAGTAGAAAATTTTTCCAGATGTTAAAACATCAGTTTGACCTTACAACGCAAACTGAAAGATCGTTATTTTCAAAATAAAATAAAAGGGGTGTTAAAGAAGCACTAGCAAACTGTAGAAATGCAAAATTGTGAAAAGGCCTGAAGCAGATGCTCAACTGTCAGCACATGATATCCTTTTTGTGATCAAATCAAGCTAAACTCAAAATAACTTTAAACTCACCTCCATTAGACATGTCACAGTAAACTGGAAAAACACTGGGATCACCTGAATATGAAACGAAAATTTTGTTAAAACTTGGAATAGGTGAACCTCATTCCTAACTGATTTAAAACTCATATTGTGCTTACGCCCCTCTGTTTGAAAGATCACTTGTAAAACAAGCGTTTTTAATCAATTAAAAACAATCAAAGGTGAACTTCCTGTGTTCAAAATAGTGAAATGAATTCACCCTTTCAGTGAGCATCCGTTGGCAAATTTGTTTCAAGCGAGGATAGACCTATGATAAGCCATTGGTACAACTGTGGCGAATGTCACCTAGAAACTTGATCGGTCTTGGGCCTTGCAAATGTTTTATCCAGACGTGAAATCGCGTCAACCTTTGCGATGAGGCTCAAAGTTTCACAGGGCAGCTGAAGTTTTTTAGGGTTATGGTTGTGGATGTGGAAAGTCTCTATATCATCCATGCCGTTTGAAAATTGTTGTTGGCAACCGTCTGTCTCGGAAGACAATGGAAATCTGCACCTAAGAAGTAAAATCACGTCAAGCTGCACCGCCGGCTGTGGCTGTGAAGCCCAATGCGGGAGCCGCAGACCCGCTGGCATTTTGCGTAAGTAAAGTCATTTGTGGGGGTTGGTGGAATGGGGGGAGACTGGAGCCTCTGTCGCCTGCGAGTCCTCTTCACCTCCCACTGGCTCTCCCTCTTCAACTCGGCTTGTTTGACGCCGGCCTTGACAGTCGATCGCCAGAGTGTACGGTCGGCTGTTGCTGACTCAAGGTTTCCAGGGCTGATGTTGCAGGTCTTCAAGTCACGCTTGCAGACATCCTTGTAGTGCAGAGTTGGTCGTCCTGTTGGCCGCATCCCTGTGGCGAGCTCACCGTACATGATGTCCTTTGGGATGCGTCCATCATCCATTCTGCATACATGGCCGAGCCAGCGCAGTCGCCTCTGGGTCAGCATGGTATACATGCTGGGTAGACCTGCCCGTGATAGGACCTCTGCATTTGTGATGCGGTCTTGCCAGGTGATGCCAAGGAGTCGTCTAAGGCAGCGCATGTGAAAGGCATTCAACCTGCGTTCTTGGCGGGAGTAGAGGGTCCATGTCTCACTGCCGTAGAGAAGGGTGCTCAGTACGCAGGCTTGGTACACCTTCATCTTTGTGTTGATGGTCAACAGGGAATTGTCCCAAACTCTCTTTGCAAGGCGAGCCATTGCCGTTGCTGCTTTTCCTATCCGAACATTGAGCTCAGAGTCCAGGGATACGTTGCTGGAGATACAGGAGCCAAGGTAGGTGAAGTTGTCGACTACCTCTAGGGCGTGCTCGTCAATGGTGATGTGTGGGGTGACGCTGAAATCTTGGCCCATGATGTTAGTCTTTTTCAGGCTGATGGTTAGGCCAAAGTCATTGCAGGCTTCCGCAAAGCGTGTGATGAGCCGCAGCAGTGTTTCCTCGGTATGGGCGGTGAGGGCAGCATCATCCGCAAACAACATCTCCCTGATGAGAACTCTGCGCACCTTGGTCTTAGCACGGAGGCGGGCCAAGTTGAAGAGGTTCCCGTCGCTCCTGGTGTGGAGGAAGATGCCATCTTTAGACTCGCGGAAGGCATAGCACAAGAGAAGGGAGAAGAACACACCGAAAAGTGTCGGGGCCAGGACACACCCTTGCTTCACGCCGTTCTTGATTGGAAAGGGGTCTGAGGATGATCCGTCAAACTGGACTGTACCATTCATGTCGTCGTGGAAGGATGTGATCATCTTCAGAAGCTTTGGCGGACACCCAATTCTTTCCAAAAGGGCAAAGAGACCGTTTCTGCTCACCAGGTCGAAGGCCTTGGTCAGGTCGATGAAGGCAAGGTAAAGTGGGCGTCTCTGTTCGCGGCACTTCTCTTGAAGCTGTCTGAGGGAGAATACCATGTCGATTGTCGATCTCTCTGCACGGAACCCGCATTGCGACTCTGGGTAAACGCGGTCAGCCAGCAACTGCAGTTTGCTAAGCACGACGCGAGCAAAGGCCTTTCCTGCGATGCTGAGAGGGGATATCCCACGATAATTGTTGCAATCGCTGCGCTCGCCCTTGTTCTTGTAGAGCGTGACAATCTTAGCGTCCCGCATGTCCTGGGGTATCGTGCCCTCCTCCCAGCATTGGAGCAGGAGATCGTGCAGGTGGCCGAGAAGAGAACTCTCACTTGCTAGCTTGACAATCTCGGGGGGAAGGCCATCACTGCCTGGTGCTTTGCCGCTGGCAAGGGACTTGATGGCTTTCCTCAGCTCGTCGACTGTGGGTGGTGTGTCAAGCTCTTCCATGGTGGGTAGGGTGGTGTTCTCGATGGCGGTGTTGGTGACAGTGGTCTCCCTAGAGTACAGCTCCTGGTAATGCTCCGCCCATCCCTCCATCTGTTTGCCGCGGTCTGTGATGATCTCGCCTGTGGTGGACTTGAGGGGAGCAATCTTGATGGCGCTAGGGCCGAACGCTTTCTTCATGCGCTCATACATGGCGCGGATGTTGCCACAGTCCGAGGCGATTTGGATGCTGTGACACAGGTCGAGCCAGTAGTCATTTGCACACTTGCGAGCAATCCTCTTGACGTTGTTGCGAGCAGCTCTGTAGGCAGCCAGTGTTTCCTTGGAGGGCTGTTTCTTGTGCTCGAGGAGTGCGGTGCTCTTGGCAGTGATAGCGGGCTCCATCTCTTTGATCCCCGCCTCGAACCAGTCTTCACTTTTTCTATCCCGCATTCCGAAGGCGTCTGAGGCCGCCTCATACACGGCGTCTCGGATGTAGTTCCATCGCGCTGTGGCACTGTCAGTTGGGCAGTCCTCTAAGGCTTTCTCCATGGACGATACGGTCGGTGCCAGCGCAGCGGCAGGAGTTGCCGAAAGGTTTCACATTTGTTCCACCAGCCGCCTACGGAGCTCCACTCCGGATTTTCTGTCAGGGTTTACTCCCATAGCCTTCGCTTCTCCCAAAGCAACCACAAGGCAGTGGTGGTTCTGCGGCAGGTAGTATTGGGTTACAGGGTACCAGTAGAAGGCAAAAGATGTACCTGACCTGACTTGCAATTTTTAATCAGAGATCTATTGCCAAGACAAACTCGAAAGAGGTTTGACAATCTAAACAGCGATTTATAATATCTGAAAAATATATCTGAGTGGGTCGAGGTTATTAAATGATGAAAAGTTGTTTAGCCAACATTATTTATTCTCGAACTTTCAAACCGAGGTCAGGACGTTTTGACGAGACTTAAATTTTACCATTCGCCCTCTCTACATGACTAACAGAGTTTACTTAAAAAGCTTCCAGAAATTAAAGTTAAAAATATTTTTGATCTTACTCTTGAACGTAAGCCAGTAAATTCCATCGTCGGCTGCGGAATCTTCCTCTTTGATTTCCTTACACGAATAAGCTGGATTCGCCCTTGAATTTTTGGGAGTAGGCATTTCAAACTGCAGAGATTTGTAATCACTGCCATCACACATCAGCAATTTCCCATCTTCAAGTTTCAATCGACCCGCTGATTTGGCTTGGCACTCGCAGTTGTGTTTCTTAACAATGGGACCACATTTCTTGCCAGCCGATGTGAAAAGCACGGTGCTGATCAAGATTAGGCCCAGAACGACCAGATATCTCATGTTGACGGTTTATCTGAAGAGAGAGCAGAAAGCGTTTAATACGAAGATGAATTTGTGCTCTGGTGGAACACCGAGTTGTTTATCAATATGGGATTTTTAAATCCTCAGAAAATTTAGTGATAGGAGTAAATTTTTTACTGTAGCAAAGTGATGCATTAAGCAAGCTTAAAGTTCAAAAAATTTCCACCCCTGCATGTTCATTGTCCACGGAAATTTGCCAAATGGGTGTAAATTTGTCCATCACTAGCGATGCAACAATGTGCAATTAACGTTGCTATCGGAAAATTTAAGAGTATCGAGAGACAGAGAGGCTTTGTTACACATCTACTTCAGCAAGATTAAGTTTTTTTTTGGATCATTGAGGGGAAACTCGCAAGGCAGCCTATTCAAAATATATACGCGAAACAGTAAAGCGAAGTCCCTTTGGGAATGCGTAGACAACTGACGACAACTAATTTCAGAGTCTAAAAATTCATTAATCTGGTAGACAATATGTAAAAGTTCTGGCTGAACAGCAAACTAACTGGAAACATGAAGCTAATCTAAACGTGATGGGAAAAACTTGACTGGCGTCTCCATGTGGGGAGGGCAAACCTTTGGGAGAAGGAAATGGTAATTTCTGTAAAAAGAGTCTTCAGCAAATTATATTGGTTAAAGAGAGTTTCGAGAGAAGGGAGAGCACTAATTTATCTCAGAGCTTGGTCTCTTTTTTAAGGTGAATCTCCTCCGCATTCTGAGACGAAATGAAACCTACCTTGAGTGTGCTCTGACTGAATTCTCGGCGAAGAACTTCTAATGAACGATTATCGCTTCGCTATTGAGTTTTCATACAAACCAACACCGGAAGACATTGTCAATCAAACACAACAACCCCCCACAAGGTTCTGTTAAGGAAGCTATGAGCTATTTCCAAGAAACAAGGCATGTTCACCAAAAATGTAAAGAACGATCCTGAACAAAATAAAAACTAATTAAAACTAATTAAATTAGGCGAAAGATAAATGCCAATAAAGTGCTCTCTTAGGAAGCATGGGTTATTCGTTTGCAAACAGATCATATTTTTAACACTCGTTATTAGTAAAAGCATAATTAGTGAAATGAAATTATCCTACCTTTTTATTATGAATTGCTATTTTTGTTATTTTTAGAATCCCTCTGGATGAAAATTGTACCTAAGCTAGACAATTTTATTTCACCTCGGGATCCGCTGAAATATTTGCGTGAAGCGTGATTTAATTCGTGATCCCGATTTTAAAAATAATCCTGTCAACATGACGAGCTTTGAACACCAAAAGAATTCGGCCCCCCACCATCTACTCGAGGCGTTAACTCCTGTCAGTTATACTTATGGCTTTATTGACTTTTGTTGGATAAAATCAATTAACACGTTTAATAAACAAAATATAAATTAGCACGTTTCATTAAATAATAACCCACGGCAGATCTTGCAATGGGATAGTTCACAACATCTGCGGACTTTGCAAGCGAGCAACCTGTTTTCCCACCCCAGAAAAAAACTCAAATGAAGTAAAATAATGAAAAAAAATTCTTTTTGACAAAGTCTTGAGCTCGAACTAGAAAAATTGAAATGTACAAGAAGTTTTTAATTTGAACGAATGCCGCAACCTCGCTACCCGTAAACAACAGAGATGCTTGGGTGCATAGAACACCCGTAATTCGGTGTGAATTCGTTTCACCTGGTGTTTACAAGGGTATTTTCACAAGAAATTTACTAGATTGACCCGAGCTTTGAAATGCCACATTTCGCTACCCGTAAACAACTGAGATATTTGGGTACTTGTAACACTTGTATTTTGGTGTGAATCCGTTTCACCTGGTGTTTACAAGGGTACTCTGATAAGAAGATTTTAAGTTGATGTTAAGTTAAATGCCCGAGGTTCACTACCCGTAAACAACCGAGATGCTTGGGTGCTTAGAATACCTGTATTTCGGCGTGAATTCGTTTCATTAAGGCAATACTGTAGGGACTAAGTTGATAGCTCGGCCCCGGCTTTAGTAATAGATCTCGAAATAATATGACAAACGCAAAAATTATGGAACGCGTAACGTGAATTTAATATTTTCAGGAGTAAACAGATGTAGTTATACTAATTCTGCAAATTTGTTAAAAGAAGGAAATCATTTAAAGTTGTGTCTTAAAATTGTGTCCGCTTTTAGTTATAATAAAATAAATGTAAATGTGACCCCGTTTGCGTCGAGCGACACGAGCCACGTTCTCGAAATTTGTTACGTCTGACTCACGCGCTTTCAGAACTACCCTCGTACACGCGCTGTGGAATAAACAAGCTATTGATCGAAAACTTGTAATAACTCTCAACAAAATGAAATATTGCAATGGAAAATATTCTAACAGCTTAAAGTGATGTTACACCATATAATTTTTGACGACCACTTGCACTCATTATTTTTGTTTTGGCAGCGTGCTGAGAAAACTTGCCCGCAGTGTCCTTGTTAAAAATTGTCCGCGCTAATAAGTGACACGAATAAGTCGTTCCGTGTGAAATCAACTTTATGCCGAAGTTGTGGTTGAGCATGTAAAGATAACATAACGAAATTTTCAGAGGGGATTCCCAGTTTAGTGGTTCACTAGTGAAATACTTTCCCAACGTAATACCGCAATGACATTTTGCCGTAGCCACTGCTCTCATACATGTCCGGCCACCAGACCACTTCGAACTCTCGTGACGGCCGACTCTCGCGACTGACGTGTAACAGGCTTCTGCACGAATGACGATATACGCTTTCTGGTCATTCTGGCACGTTTAATAGCTGCATGAATGGCGTCCTCATTTTCATCATCATCGTTTATAGCTCTGTTAACGCACCAGGCCTGTGCTTTCTGTATTTCCACTAACGCAGATCGAATTGCTTTCATTTCAAACATCTTGAAAGAAATCCGTCTCGTACTTGTATGGAGTATAGGAGCTCTCCAGTGACTGGTGTCTTTGACGGAGTACACTTTTGGCTTGCCCAGATCGGCTAGAAACTGTCTGAAGAACTCAGCTGGAACGAAATTCAATTCCTGTTTAGGCCATTTTGCTGTATGTTAAAGAACAAAGTGAAATCAATGGCAACCTCAAGCTCCTCAAAACACAGCACCACTACGTGCGACGCTCACACAAACATGTAAAACATGATATACAGACGTATGATATTCAAAATTACCTCGCGTTCTTGGGTGGTGGGCATTGTTGATCCCTTTCAGCATACTTTCTCTCCATGTTTTATAAGCGTGATACGGTCCGGCCCTCTTGCTTATTCTTTGTGGTTTTGGAAGTGGCGCTTCGATTCCTTCACTCACAAAGCTTATTCTCTCCGGTAAAGTTCTAATTGAATGCGACTTAACTAGGTGCTGTTTTAGAGCGAAGCTTGTGTTGAAACGGTTTCGCATTTATGGCACGAAACCTTGTAGATTTTCGAAGTCATATTGTAACAGAGGGCGCTACAGATGCAAGCTCTATTAGCACCTTTTTAAGTTTCTTTTTGATTAGCTATGGAAACTTGCTTTCCAAAGTTTAACTACGTGTATTAATTAGCTAAATATGTTATAGATTGATCAAGCATATCAGCATGCGAATAACTCCTTCAAACAGCTTTTACGCCTTTCCAAACGTGGCTCAATTTAGTTGAATTATGGATGCGGCTTATCAGCAGAAGTCAAAGAATATAAAGAAACACAAGATAAAGCAATGGAAGGCAAGGAAGAAAGCAAGAGTAGCTGAAGAGAGGCAAAAAGAGAGGCGCGATCGTTTTATCGAGTCGTTACGGCAAACCGGGGATTTAAAGGTCGCATACCATACTTCCAGAACTGAAATACCTGGTCAACATATTGTTTTGATTTAAATAAAATGTTGTTATGGATAACTGCGAAATCATGGATTGCTAGTAAAACGCTTAGGAAAAAAAACAATCGTTTCTGTCTTTTTAGTTTTTTGTTGATCAATGTAACTATTTAGTTCCTTCGGCTTGTTTCAGACAAGCAGTGTTGTCTGCTTAATTCAAGTTACTGACAACAAAGTACCTATAACAAAGGAATACAAATATCTATCAAAGCTTATTTCATTTTCTTGAAAACGCTCACCTTTTAATCGAGCAGTCAAAATATTTCCTTCTAAAATACTTTTTGATAATTGATTTTAAACATTTTTCTTAAGAAAACGTTTCTTTTGGGGACCAACGGTCTGATTGGAAACTTGGTGGAGATTTCGGAAATCCTGTAAAAATGCCTTTGTGAAATTTTGCGCATTCTTGATCGGTTCTATGATTAAAAGCACAGTTGATTGACGTCTCCGGAAGAATGAGGCATTCGTACAACTAATTCACACCTCGTTAGTTTACCATTTGGAAGTCGCCTGTGTGAGTCAGAAGTATCTGGTTACTATGCAAATGAGCTTTGTGCGAGATTGAAGCTCGCATTAGCTCATTTGCATAAAAGGATTAAGTGGTTCAAAGCTCGTCATGCCGGGGACCAGTCAAGACCGCAACGCCGAGGAAAACGTCGATTAGAAAACGAACTCATATATTTCTTATGAATTTTGCGAATGTCTGGTTTTGTTTATCATCTCTTAGGGGCGACATCAGCACGATTCGTTTAGCGTCTTGTTTTTTTTCGTTTAATACTTTTGGTATAAATGTCTGCTTGGGGCAATTGCCTTTGTTTTCAGTGTCACCCGAGTTTGTGTTCAGTGTTTTGCGCGTTTGGAATTTGTTGAAGGATCAATTAACGTATAAAACCCATTTCAAATTGTCGGCTACAGGTTCTATGCTTTGAAAGTACAGGTCCCTCGTGCGTTTTTTAATTTTTTTCCAACACCAAATATGTCAGCCGGCTTTCCTTTTGCATGAACATAAAATAAATTCGTTATTTATTTTTTATTTGTATAGCAAAGATGATAACCACCTTGCTGGATTAAGGCAGCAAGTGTTGCAATGCTAATTACTCCGTTGTTAACTTTTAGCTTTAACTAGAAAAAATGAAGAAACCTGCTGACTCAATCAGCAGGGGATGAAGGAACTCTCACAGACAGAGTTATATAATTACTTTAAAACTGATTTTGAATTTGTAACTTAGACTTTAATACCAAGAGATAATACCAAGGTCGATTTTTCTCTTGCGTCCGGTGAATTACCGACTGTTTGCCTGAGCTGTCGTCTCTCTGATTAATTGAATTCGTAACTGAACTTAGACTTTTGACTTTAATACCAAGAGATAATGCCAAGGTCGATTTTTCTCTTGCGTCCGGTGAATTACCGACTGTTTTCCTGAGCTGTCGTCTCTCTGATTAATTGACTTCAATTAACGTTCGATTTATTTCAGCTGCTGCTGTGCTAGCCTATGCGCGTGTAGCCGTACCCTCCCCCGACGGTGAAAGGGAAGCGAGGGAACGACATGAACTCAAATATAGTTACTGTGGAATCAAACGTTGTCTAATCATTGACGTCCGTAGCAGTTCGCTTGAAGCAAGTATCCGTGTTTCAGGAAACCGTGACGAATTTCAGTTCCTGTCGCAAGTGGTCTCTACTGAACTATTTTCCCCCGTTATTGCTGCGTTCCCCGCAATTTCCAGTTAGTGCGGAAAACCTATCGTCACAAAATCAAAGGCATTTAAAAAGCGCGACGCGCATGCAAACGGATGAACTCCAATTCCCCAGACGCTCCGAATCTTGTCACGAAGGTTACCAATCATTTATCTCCATAAAGAAATTCAATATTTTTTGGAAGGAAGGAAGAGAAGGACCAAAAGGGCATACGCAGCTAATTTACGTTACTGATTCTTGTCGGTCTCGTCTCTAAAAGAAACACACCTTGTTCACGAAAATATGGCCACAATATCC